TTCAATAATTCACATAGCTTCACAGATAGGGTATTACTGAAGTCAGGTTATTATAAAGATTGAATCAGTGAAATCTATGGTCAAAAATTTATGCAGATATATAAACAAATTATTAATGATTTTGTGTTGGCACGGTGTCGAGAATTCACAGTTGCTATATTCTGTCCAAAAACGATACATCATATAAACTGTCACCTTGTTGGTTGCACATCTGCCCAAATTTTACCTTCACATGTTACATCCGCGGCTTTTAAAAATTGATGGGAAAAAGCAGGAGAACTAACAAAACAGTGGTTGACAAAACCTGGTTGTTTGCCATGGGACATTTTAGCATATGTCTATAAGCAGGTAGGGCTCAAACTAATCAATGGAGAAACTTCAGATAAAACAGGAACTAAACTCAGTGTGTGAAAAATAGTTACAAGGAAAGAGGTGCAAGTTAATAGAAGGTTGATGAGCTTAGTGGGGTAAATGTTAGGTTTGCGCCTTGATGAAGTAGCTAAACCAACACAAAGTATGTAACACTCATCCAAGAAGCTCGCGCCAAAATTCAGGATTCACTTCCTCTAATTTCGTTGGTTCGTCCATAAACTGTGGTCTCACCTTTATATGATCAAGGATGCCCACTATGAACACATCTGGCGAACAAATAGAGAAAATGGTGAATATTTCTATCCTTCTGAGTTCTTATCGAGACATGAAATTTCATAAATCGAAAAGCATACGGACTGAAACTTCTTTCCTTGCACTATGACTTTGAGGTGTTCTTATAGTGTCAAAACTACGGAATGTTGCGTCAGTTTTTCGGATAAATGCGGAATATAACTTACCGAGTGTTCATATTTGGTACACAAGGTTTGCGAAGTTGTCACTGTGGGATTATGCATAAGGACTTCGAAAATATTGCATTCAGTTGTATGAAATCAGATAATTCATTTATTGGGAGACGTTGTTTGATTTAGTGTTGCGCTTCAAATGCCGTGTCGGATGTCATCTAGTGACACCTGGAACTTAGTGCTGGGAACTCCAAGCAATGACATTATCGGGAACGTGAAAGGAATGGACGCTAAAGTACAAAGCCTTATTGTAAAAGAAATCGCTTGAAAATGGAGAAACTGTTTTGGTGGAAACATATAGACTCACATGGTATTAGAAACTAATAGATGGCGGTAACATCCTGGCCACACATACCATAGACAGATACATTTTGAGAGACATTAAAACAAAACTATACTGATGAGTTATTACAGACCCAGGAAAACGAACACAAAGTCTAGGGTCTAGCTGTGGTGTGTGCTAACCTTGTTAACAGACATAAGTAGTATATAGCACCAGTCAGAACTGAAATATATAGCAGCAAAAGTTTGAGAAAATCGAACTGAAGAGAACAGAACAAAGAGTAATTTTGATAACAGTAAGAATGAAGGAAAGATGAACTTTATGAGGGACAATTGATAGAAGATGTGCAAGTGAATTTTTTGATGTGTTATTTCCATGTCACCATGCATTTTCTGACCAAACGTAGTAGTGACAGCTTTTTGATAGACTACAGAGATCACTTCATCCCAACAAAGTTAACTTAGCAACAACGACAGTACCAAATACACGAAACTGGACAAAAATGTACTGGTTATCACTTAGCTTGTGTTCACACCCACTGTTTTAACCACATCTATAACGCTGGAAGAGTTTTCTTAAGTCCTTTATAAGAAGTTCTAGGCACAAATTCTGTCTTGGTCGGGAAAGTGACGGTCAGTACTAAGGGATAGAAAGTGACTTGCTCACTGATGAGCGGATGCAGACACTTCAATCGATATCTTCGAGATATATTAGAACAGTGGATGACCTCACCATAATTCATAACGATTTAGGATATCCAGTTAATCTTGATTATTCGGCCCTATCCTTTTGTTGAGGTTCATTCGGTAGCCATAGAAGATGCAAAAAATTATATTTCATTCAGCCTAATTTTACGCGTTTTGTCGGTTTATGCAACAGCGTTTTCTCCATCAAACTAGTTTAGCATGCTACAAATACCTTTATACTTATAAACTGCCTTGATACGAATGTAGTGGCAGTAATGTCAATGAATCAATGCTTTGACAAAATGAGTAGTCTAATAAATTTCTTATAACACATTATTCATAACTTTTGTCTCCTAGACACTTAAATCATTATATACATTATATATTGGAGAACTTGTTTGACCTTAAATAGACTTCGCTACCATTGACTACATTCTGTAACGTATTCGAAATCTTAGTCTGTACAGTGCTACATTATCTGCTTCTAGTTTCGATGTCAGGATTATCGTAGCCTGACTCTTGTCTTTTAATAGTTCACGTTTTTTACCCTTTTTGATGAATGTAAGTTCATTTTGTGTTGATCATGGGTTGTTAGTTGACATTTTCAACATTCGTCACCTACGCTGTTCTGCATGCCTCCCTATTACGCGAATTACCTTCTAGTTAGATGCACACTGTCAAGAAGTTGTCACTTTATAGTTCAGAATATTAAACCATCTTAAACTCACGTTTGCACTGTTTCTAATTGTTGTTGGTTGCTTTAATTGCTAATCGTAAATTCATTCTCTGTGCTTACTGAGTTGTCGGCTCACTTTTTCTCTTGTCCTTTTCCATCTTAGACTTTTTCACCTTAAGCGTACCGATTTTATTCAAAACGTAGGTGATATGACGTTGTGTCTCACAGTTAAAATCATATCTCCAACAAGAACTGTTATAGTAATATATATTTGAAAAACTCCTGAACTGTTCATATCATCATTCAGGATGACTAATAGCGAATGGATTGAATTAAAAGTTAGGTAGCATTATAATTTAATATATTTTCAAATAATTAAACAGGCTAAAGTGTATACCAACAATAATTGGAATCAAAGTGGAGTGAATATGAATTTGTATAGAGCATGACTGAAGTGATTGTTCAGCTAGCACTAGAAATAAAGCTTTATGAAGTTGTGTTGAAACTAGAACTACAGTAGTACTAGGATTTCCAGCAATTTTATTGGAAAAGAAATTACACTGGAACTAGAGTTATAAGAACTAAGAATTGCATTTCACGGACTCAAATCGAATTGACCTGATGTGCGGTGTTATGCAATGACATGCTTTTAAAATGTGCAATACTTAAGTTATCGGACAAATAAGCGGATGGACAGGTAGGTAGATATTAGAAGGATATCAATTTTGGGTTAATCACAAAACTGAGCTTAAAATAAACAACAGAAAAGAATAGGTAGATGGATAGATAGCCACACTTATGTGGTTTTAAGTTGATCCTTATGACAAGCTACCAATAGACTTAATTAAATGTGTTTTTTTCCAAATCTTTATCGGTTTTATTTTTGATCACATGAAATCATGTTATATTTACTACTAAAGCTGAATTGCTCAAGGTATTTATTACAATGTGGTTTCAGTTGTTTAGCTAGTGGGTTCTTCTGCAAGCTACCTATCGAGGTTTCAATAACTAATGTGCCACCATTAAAAACTTTCTAAAGATCATTCCTCGGATAACTTTACTATAACTTGACTTGAACAATGACAAAATTTGTTACAACTAGCGGACTTCTATTATTTAGTATGAAGTCTTCAGATTCACAAAGCCTTATTACCATTAGACTAGATTTGAGCCTTTTCGCACTAGCGAATTATGGATCAAGCCTCAAGTAAGGGTCTTTATTGATAAAAAACTACAAAATTTGGAACATTTAACTGAAAAGCATTTCTTAAGACAAAGCGTATACGAATAAGTCGTGTATCATTAGTGACATTAGGTGTGGTTTGTTTGACATACAATAAATTAACTGTTAGGTAAACAGTTTGTCCATAACAAGAATAATTCTCTGTAATTGCCTACATTCACAGGTAAAAGAGAAATGTATAGTTTTAAGTGTCTCAACAATATTTTACCAGATTACACATAAATGCATGTCCTTTACACTTGACGCCTGATTTTTTAGGTTTTGTGTGCGTAAAGTAATATTTTAAAAATACCAAAGGGCGTTATTATCAGTAGTTTTAGTGAGTTTACATACATTTGTTGGTGGGATATAGTCTTTGTGGATAATGTTCTGTGCAGAGGGCTTGGGAAGTTGTTTTTATCTAAAATGTGTATCTGATCCTGTACACTCCACAACTAATTATTATTCAGCCCTTTTTCCGGTTGCTGTGAGGTTATAACAAATCATCTACTTAGCTAACAAAACAATGTTCTGAATTATTCAATGAGATCGCAAAATTTTTGCTGGTATATGAGTAAGTGTGTGATCACTATACTTTACACAGTAGGTGTTATTTTTAACGTTAAGAATTTGTAAGTAGTGACATAAGTACTTATCTATAAAAATGCCTCTATTTTTAAGGTTAAAAACATGGATACAAGTATGACAAACGTTTTAAGACTGTACCACTCCACGTAGTAAGGCAACTTTGGTAGTCGTGCATTCTTCTCAAACTACATGTTGATGATGACTGGCTAGCCAAAAAGTTATAAGATATCAGACTTGTAATGTTTGACAAGAGCTTATACTGCTTTCAGCTTTTAAATACAGTTAAGCCTTCTAGAAGTTTATATAAGTAGGGGAAACTCGCTTTCAGTTTTAGCTAGATACAGACTGTAATTATCGTAAGTTATAACTATAAAACTACAACCTTGAGTGTTAAATCTTCCAAATATTACGTTAAAATATGTTTGTCTTCCTAGAGCTATTAATATTGTTACTCTGCTCTGCTTTTAACAGTCTCACTGGTCTCTCTGTTTTACGTTCTTGTGTGATTTGTGATAACTGAAGTCTATTAACATTCATGAAGGAACCTAAACTGCCTATTACTAACTAAATGGCCAGTGCTGTAGTTATCACTGTAGTGTATCTGATGTTAATGCCATATGTCAGTCATTTACTTTTAACTGCTAAAGATGTGTGTGACTTGAACAGCCGCAAGATAATTAAGTCTTTCTTTGGTTGTTAACTGTATGCAGAAAACTTTCAGGGTTTTATGTTAGGATCGAGCAGTCTCATAACTTTAGCAAGCTTTTAACCTCTTATCGGAGTTCATGTACAGGTATATATACGTATATTTATTTATCAAACAATAGGGAACACTAATTAAGTAGAAATTCCTTCATCGTATTTGTGCCTCAGTCTATAGGATGGTGGATTTTTGCTCATCTTAATATGAGTTTACCTCAATTATTGAACACCTACGAAGGTAAATTTTTTTAATTTTCTTGATCTTAGATTTAAGCAATGTCTCAACTAATAGAACTCATTCTTCAAGGTGATGGTGATAGAATCCAGAAGTTTTTGAAAGAATATGATAAAGATCCAGAAGGTTATCTACAATTTATGAATGAATATGACGAAATGCACAATTCTGCTATTGAATTATTTACAATATTAGATTCCAGGAGTTTTATTGAAAAGGCAATAAGCAATGGTTATAACGAGCTAAATAAAACCGGAAAAAATGGTAGGTTTCGAATTATTGTTTTAAAAATCCTTTTCTCTCTTTTACACAAAAGGATGCAATTTAGTACATTATGCTGCTATGTGGAATCATGCTGATTTAATAAAATATTTATATTTTGCTGGTGTCGACGTCTATAGAAAAAATATTCACGGCGAAACTGCACATAAACTAGCTGTTAAATATAAACAAGAAGAAGCAATGCATATTTTAGAATGGATAGGTACCTAATGAGAATATTATTCATATGTAGATAATTTGTTTATTTAATATTATTTAGAATGTCGTGATGAATTTATTATGCTGATCCGATTGGTAAGAGAAATTTTAGCAAATTCTGATAAGAATGACTATACAAAAGAAGAAAGGGTAGGTCGGTATTCTATTTTTTAAACGTTGCAATTCAACATCATTCACACTAGAATTTTTATTCTACCATTTTTATAGATTTTAATAACAAAATCACTGGTCTAAAACAATATTACCTTCCATGAAGACGCTATAATTATTAAGTAAATTTTTTAGTTTTGAACAGCAAGGAATCCCTTCAGTCTAGACAATTATTGTTAAAAGAGAAAAGATTTTATGAAGATTTGAGACATCCAGAGTATCTTATGTGAGGTTCTGTAAACGTTATTACGAACTTTTTGAACTCTAAACAATGGAGAAACGTCTACGCAAAAAAACCGTGATGGAAAATAGAATTTTAAAATATCTTGAATTCGTGAAGTTTTACAAAATCCCGTTGACAAGCTACTAATAGAACCCTAAGCACCTACAATATGTATGTGTGATCTACTATTCTGTTAATAAAAAAGATTACTACAAATTATAAATCATGTATACAGGAGGCAAATACAAAACAAGTGTTATACGTAGGTATTAGATTTGAGCCATGGAGTGAACAATAACTTTAAAATGCAGGTACATCCAGCTGAGAAGTCCCAGATATAAGAAATTAAGTGTCCTAGACTTGACTAGTAACCACTTTCCATCCATTAGCTACCTTTAAACTTCCGCTAGATCCCTTAATTGAGAGATTTTATAGCATAACATTCATTTGATATCACTGTTGAGTTCATGTTTTGGAAACAATGTTTAGGTTGTTCATATAGATAACTTATTACAGTTACTGTCGTAATGAAATAAAATTATCTTAGTTATAGAAAATGTTTGTGGGAAGGAGAGGAAGTAAAAAACAAACTTCTATCCCAGTCATATCTTGGTAATCTATTAAAATTACTAACTTACACCATTTGGAAGGTCATTAATACCAAAAAGCTCTTGAACAGCCGTTTTGTTCCAGTTTTGACCTTCCCAACAGTCCGTACCCACTACCTTATGTTTGGTGGAATTAAGTGCTATCTATTCACTGTTCTGGCTTCGATTATATACGAGATAATATGGCCACTTCTGAATATTTTGAAACCAATACGGAACTGTTACCTAGCCTACTATGGTTCTAATGGTTTTCTAAATTATGTTAATTCTTGATAGGAATTACTTTTAATTTATACAAATCCCCCCTGTTAACCACCTATTTTTCTAAACTAATAATGTTTATTTTTAGTCTTGATAAGTTTGACATTTTATGTTTTTAGAAAATTGCAGATTCTGCTTGTCTTGATGGAGAATCCTGGATTAACAAAAATAAAGAAGCTACACTCAGTATGCTTAAAACAAAAAAAGAACAAATTGAATTGATTGTAGAACCATTTTTACGGAAGAAATCATCAGTCATGTAGTGTGATGAAATAATATCGTACCATATTGTATGGTGAAAACCCAAATAACATTAGTTTGCATTTACTATCTCAATACTGAGTGTGCAACAAAATTTTAATTTTATAAGTGTATACAGATCTGTTTTTAAAAATATTTTGTTATATACGTATTGTGAATCAGTCTCTCAGGACACTTATGATGTTATTGGGTACTGTTTAGTTATGTTTTGATTCACAAGACTTTGAGTTGTAATAGGAAAGTTTTTCTAGTTAGCTGTTAAGTTAATGAGTGCAGTACTTTCACACTTCTACCTTAAGATAATTATGATATAGTTATATAATGAAACATAGTTTCTAACTAAAAGTGTACAATAAAGTTAAATATTTGGGTAAGACGTTTGGGTTTATAGATTATTTACAAAGTATGTTTCCAGGTATTTGAAATTGGATCCCCACAGTGTTTATTCTAGAGTTAGTAACACGACTATATTAATCAAACAGAAGTTAGAGGAGTGATGTTCAGCTCCGTGTCTAACTCTTTGAAAGTCAACAGTTTGCAACACTAAACAATAAGATTGTTGTATCCGGACAAATCAGTGTTCTAGAACCTCTCAGGACAATATTATACTGTGTTCGTCTGCAAAAGTTGTAGATTTGATTCTGATATGTTATTAAAAAATATTCATTTTGTTACCAAAGTGATCTTATAATACCCGTTTGCTTAAATTATCTAATTTACCATACGGTCTCACCATTAAAATATTCGATTTGTATAAGTGTTATATTGCCTAATGAACAAAATTGCTGACTAAAAATTGTGGAATATCTGACATAATGGCTGTAGTTTAAGAACCAACACTTCATATTTGTTAATTATGACAAATTGGGTGGTCGCTTTTTCAGCTGCAAAATATATAAAGGTAAGGATAGAATAAGTATTAGTATTCTCTCATTCCAAATAATCTAATAACAGTGCCTTATTGTTAAAGTTCTACGTAAGAAACCCTAAAATAACCAGGCTAAATTAAGACGACGTGATGCATAAATGCTATGTGGGGCCAAGATGAATTGTAAATTAAATGATTCTGCATATCTAAAGTACATGAATATACGTTCTTATCGAAGTGATTCATAAGACACAGTAAGTTAACATTTCAATGTGAAGAGCAGAGTTTTGCCAAAACTAGTGTAGCAAACGAGGATACGAGTGGTGATAATCGAATGCATTTGAGCACAAAATTACAAAACACCTTAGTAAAATCTGAGAACCATACAGTAAATACTTAATTTGCAAAATATCAATCAATCGTCTAAGACTTCATTGTTCTTTCGTTTCCATGCCAATCATTCTCTGTTCATGTTCTCTTTTCTTTGATATTCTTAAACTTCCGCCACCAGGCATTTCATTTTCAATTGATGATACGTACTACTTATATCTGTCGAGATCAGCAGCACACACCACACTAGCATGTTCATAATTAGAGCCATTAGATGTCACATAATTGTGGACATTTGAGCATACAATTATGAATAATCGTCCTCATGGAGTCTTGCACTTACAATGTAATAATGAGCGGAAGAAATTCAGAAACCAGAAAAATGTAAGGTAAAGGGGGATATACATGGTATTTCTGTGTAACAAAAACCCAACAAGTTTGGTTGAGCCAAATTTTCTCATCTAATATTTACCTTCATTCGACCAATTAGGAAGATCTAAGGTATATTAAAGCAACATTAGTAAAAAAAATTGACCAGAGTTAAATATCGATCACCCACCAACTTTTTGAGGAAGATAATTAGATGTTCTTCCGTTTTTCTATCCATCTTGAAATGAAAAAAGCTAACCATAAGTTCATTACATCGTGGAAGTGTCAAGTTTAAATAATATATACACCAGTGAACAGAATTATGAATAGTAATTAATTACGTAATTTTGAGCTGCAGCAACAAATAAAGTAAAGATTTAACTTTTCAAACTTTTAATTGCTCTCTGAAAACACGATTTAAGAGACTAGAGTCATGGTTTCTTTCGTCTCTTTATTGAAATCCTATAGTCCTGATGATTTTGTTTGAAATATACAATATCGCTTAGTGATAATAAAATGTATTCTGTTCACAATTAGTTGGTCATCAATTGTCGATCAATGGCATGTTTACCTAGTAAAGCTTGATGAGTCTAGATCGAATCCTCTGGGAACCATCAGATCAGATTAGTATAAAACCTAAATCCAAGGATTCCTGTCGACTATCGACAATCACCCCCTTTTTTATTCAAAATTTTGATCGTGCATATATTTATCATGAATTAATTTAAACTTTAAAACGATTTATTATGTTACTATACATAAATGGGTAATAGCTATGAATATTTATTAAATAATGAATGAAACAATGCAAGAACCACAGCATTGGTTAGTAGTTTACGGATTCAGTCATCGTTTACACACTGATATCATGAAGTAAATCACTTCAGAATATGTTATCATTGTTATATTTTAACATTTTAGACTACTTTCAGATAATTATTCATGAACCTAATAACTATTTGGACGAGACTATAATTTATGGACGAACCAATCAGAAATAAGATAACGAGTCAGGAATTTTGACGCAAAATTCATCCATACATTTGGCTAAATAGAGTTTTGACATTATAGCTGATGACAGTTCATGATGAAAACCCTAAGTCTTGTTTTTAACCCTAACCATCAACTATAAATGAGAACTCTAACTACTTTATAACTCTCATTTAGTCCTAATCAGTAGGTGTCCACTCTCAAGGTCACTTCAGCATCGTTCAAAGGTTGTCCATCAATTATAGTCCCACCACTATTTGTATTCTTTTTGAATAGTTTTATTGAATCATTTAAGTTAAATTTTCAATACTATCAAAAAACGAAATCAGTAGTATTAAAAGAAAATAGTTATTTTTTGCTAAAAATTATTTTTCTGTGAAATATTGTAGTCTCACAATTAACAAATGAACACACAACTAATAATTATAGTAATATTGTAAATTGAAGTGAAGTATTACAACTTACAATTGAATATTCTTTTAAATAATCAATTGATATCAACATTTTGTTTATCAGTCATGAAAATTGACCGAAATGATATATAAGAAGAAGTTGATCATTTGAATTATTGAAAAAAAGAGATTTTATCATATAACTAAATTGAAATGAAATACAGTTTTAGAAACGTTAAACTTTACATCTTTATAAAAGTGGTATGAATATTAAATTTTACAAAAAAAAAAGAAAAACAAACGAAAAAGAAAAAAAACCGAAGAAAGAATTCACAAATATGTATGTATTCTAGTTTTGTAATGATAAACCTCTTTGTGAGGTGGAGGGGGGAGCGTTGTGTTTTTCCCATGTGTAATCATTTGAGGAATGTTATTTCGGAAGTAATTACTATTCGAAATAAAATAAATCATGAATGTCGAAGGTTTTCTCAATTGTAAAAGATTATTGAAAATAATGGCTATACAGTTTAACATTCAACTTAGAAACCGGAAATATTAGTTCGGAGAGTAAATGAGTATAAAAGAACAATTTAGAAAAAAAATACAGAAAAAAAGCAGAAGTGGATTTAACCAGAGAGATAGAGAGGGAGAAAAACAACAAAAGAAGTTAGACAAAACAGTCAGATAGATGGGTTGACCTGATTTCGGTGTTATCTACATTTGGAATGGCAGAGAAATCATTAGTAATGTGTTGATTTTGTTGTTGTTGACGGTTGAACTGATTTGAATATAATAATCTTGACGTTTCAAGATTTTCATTGTCTGCTAAACCGCCTAGTTGTTCGTTATATTGATTTAAATTAGAGATAAGATGATTATTATCAGTATTATTCATCAATTCGATCTTGTGCATATTTAATTTGGATTTTGATAAGCATGAATGGAAGTTATTTATATTGTGCTCCTCTTGAGAAGGTGCTAAATTAGAATCACGACTTGAATGATCATTTTGTATGTTGATATTACCTAGTAAAGCTGTAAATTAAACAAAAAAGACATTGGTTATTTGTAACAATTACATTGTAACTTTGAATATAAAGTATTACTGCCTATATGAAATTGGGCCGAAATGGCTACATCGAGGAGATTCGAACAGGATATAGATAAACCAACTAAGAGATGTCACTTAGAATATGAACAATGAGACAAACCGATTTGGTGGCTAAATGGATAGTGAGATGGCATTTTGAGGGAGCTGTATTGAGTTCGCGCCCCGGAGTGAACCTCAAGTCGGATGCAAGTAAATCCAATAGGAGAGTCTCACACAGGGTAAGACGAGGGTTTTGGACTTCACTGTTAGTTACATTCCATCCAATTTACATTTGTAAGTAATTTTCACCATTGAATTTTCAAAACCAGAGAACCGTCGGAATCCAAGTAGTATTTAATGAATAGTTAATTCTAGTTTTTAAGCTTCTTAACAATTTTCTTCTACAGGATCAAACTTCATATTTCTTGGTGTAGACTTCATTTATAGACTAGTAAGTTAAAATATGATAGTTTACACTTGTGACTAGCTAATTCTTCATGTAGTATAATTGTGAGTTCATGGTTTTGAGGAGTTATAAGCTTGGATTAAACAGATTTTTAATTCTACTTGGTTTACGAGGGTCCTTAATGGCACGCCATTCGGCGATAAAAACTACTCCCAGAATTTAAAAGAACTTCAAATGTTCAATTTGATAAGTCTACGATTTTTGATGCATATTGAAACTGAATCTTAATACATACGGTTTGAGACAACCTCATAATCCCTACGATATTTAATAATTAGTTAACATATACAAGCTACTAGACTTCAAATCGCGAAACAAAGTAAATTGGTTTTAATCAGTTTATATTGAAAGAGTGTAGGTAATCACTTTAATCACAGATAAAGATTCTAACAAATCCCTCTAACTACTAGAAGAGAGTTGGATTTTTTCACTATGTATACATAATCTGATGAAAGAAAACGTATGTGACTGAAATAGTGACTTTATTCTAGTTTACTAATTTTAGTTTCAAGTGTTAATCTCATCATCGTAATCAAAAGTAACGTAGAACCTGACGCATTTGTGCATCAGCCCAATTTGTCATAGCATATCCGTATAGCGAGATAAAATTATTCCAAAACAAACTCCAGAGTAGTAGAAGTAGTAATAGTGTTAGTAATCGTAAAAAAATGAATATAAAAAAAGAAAAAAATGGAAATCTAGGAATTCAGGTTCTAAAAGAAGGAGTAAATACACGTCTTCCATTGAGGATTCTGAGCTATATCACACAGTTTCTGACCACTAGTTACGATTATCACGTCTACACAAACCAAGTAGTCTACACCTACCTACACCTCTTACATCAGCAATAATTGGTTTCACTGATTGGCGACGCGTCTTGGTTTTGCTACTCGAAGCCATCTTCCACCCTACTTCTGCACCAGACAACATCACCCGTTGCGGTAGGTGGTTGTTGGACATACGTAATACATGCCCCAATTCTATCGTTTAATAAGACTTTACAAAACTCATCAATCGGCTTTTTTCCTTTTTACTCTATTCCTAACCTTGGGATTGATTGTTCAGTGGTCTCAAAATACACAAGTGTTGCTTCGAAGACACTTGTAGTTGAATACCAGTAACCAACGAATATCCTTTATTCTTAATGTGTACGATTCATGTATATGAAGTAGAACGATAAACTCATTCTCTTATTGACAGACAGACACCTCGCCTGTATCATAAAAGACGTGAGTTGGCAAAGCCAAATGAGCTTTCTGAATTTGTGCTGAGATTTTACCGAACACCAGCCTATCAAGACCGATGAGACTTCCAAGGTAAATGAAGTGGTCGATAATTTCAACCACCTTACTTAATTCAAGTGCTAACTTAGCTAAGTAGATTACAACTAGAAATAAAGGATTATGAAGGATAATAAACAAACCTGAGCAGTCGGCCCACCACTGTATTGAATACGTCTAAGTTGATCCACATAACGACTACGATCGGAATCTTTGTCCTCTTCAGAAAAATTATCTAGAATATTGGATTGATAAGTCGTTAAAAAACAAACGTAATTTAGATTGTCACTAAAATAGTCTTTTAAATTTGTTGTCTTAAACTTATCACATCACTGGATACTTTCAGTATATACGTGAACAAATTAGTAAGCTGATTAATTGTACAGTAACAATTGAAAAAACATTTTTCTAAACCTTCAGTATATTTAAGTGTTCCAGTTTCACTTTTAGTGAATTAAAATGTTATTGGCACCTTGTTTTTAAAACCAACATTGAAGAGCTGGAGACAATTAACGGACGTTTCGTCTTAGTACTTTAGACTGAAAAAGTTATTTTAAGATAGATAAAATTTAGATTGTTTTACTCCCCAGCTTTTCGTATGTGAATAATAAAGCCTATTATCTTAAGTATTTCCAAAGTTTTTGTTGGTTTTAAAAGTGTGACCCATATTTTTTCAGATATGAGAGCCTGATAATATATATATATATATATATATATATATATATATATATATATATATATATGCATAGACAGAGGTCACGACAACGTTAGGCTCATCAAATGTTTCTTTTCCTGACGCTTGACGTATATCGTCTTCTTAAGTTGAATTGTTTCACTAGTTTAGTTCAGCAGCAATATTTTAGAAAGGTAATCAGCGAAAATCAACAGAGACCATACATCTGAAGTCTCTGTCAACACTAATAGTTAACAGTCCTTTCAGGGTTTCTAGCGTTTTTTTAGTCTTCACAGCTCACATTGAAACATTTGATCTACTTTAAGAGAGAGATTTTCTTTCATGTTCTATCTCCATGAACAACATCAAAAGTTCCATGAGTTATTCGGAAGTTTTTGTTAAATTTCAGGGTAAACCTAAATGAATTATTTGACGTATTTATTATACAGACTATGTGACTTACAATCCTGGAGGTTTAATGTGAGATTAATTAAGGTCAAAATTTATTCTCAGAAAATTAAAGAGTGTATTCAAGACGATTTATAGGACCGACTGACTAAAATTAATCTACTCAAATTTCTAACTTATATCTATAAATATAAATGGTAGACTTACCAGTGACAGAATTCTGAGTGTGAGTGTATGAAATGACTGCTTACTATTATGTAAACTTGATTTTGATTTTAAGCAAGTAGAACAAGAATATGGTAATCGTTTTTGACATTGAATTTGATGGGGTTTGTGCATTGAATATTGTTGTTCACAATCACATTGGTTTTGAAGAGTAAATAAGTCACTAGATATTGCATGAGAAAGATTGTTTACACTTTGTCGATTTTCAAAATGAGGTATATTTTTTCTAGATGTATTCGATTGAATAACTTCTCTTGATGAACAAAAATAACGTGTACTTCCAAAATTAGGTTTTGTCTTGAAGTCATACAATGGAATATAGGGAATTATTGAAGAGACAGAATACCAATATAAACAATTCTTAATATAGTTAACTTACATAACATCGTAATTATGCATGCATATAACGTTCAAATCATTTAGGAAATATTTACAATCTAGGGAAAGAATAGAAAGCATATTAAATATGTTGCACCGGGACGTAGCTTGGAACTAGAACCTGGTCTGTGTGTACAGGGGTTGGTGAATGTATCATTAAAGGAGTAACAGACATTTCACCATTTACCTCATATAATTTGCTATTATCTTGGGTACAGTTCATCAAAGAATTTGACATCAACAGGGAATCCGATGCACTGGGATCAAGGGATAAAAATATAGGTGTACACGATGAACCCATATTGTAGTTAAACGGTGCACTGTATGAAAATGTTGCTAAATCTGACCCTAATTCCATTGATTGCGGATTAAAATGATCTGGAAAAGAGGTTACATTTATAGAGACTATTGGTGAACTCTCACTAGGTATGTTATTTGTATTAAAAAATCCATTGGTCAAATTATTTCTTTCATTGATATTATTAAATTCAGATTTTCGTTTAATCTGTGAAAATGCAGCTAATCCAGTAGATAATATTTCTGTCGAACTATTAGCTGTTTGATTAGAAACAACATTTTGAACTGATGAATCTATTGAATTATTAACTATAGTTAAACCTATACTATTACTATCTACAGTGATTGAATTATTCACTGAAGCTGTAGAAGAAATTATAGTTTGCAATCGTGTACAATCTTTCATTTTATTATCAATAATAAACTGGTCATTTGTTATTTTTCTATATGAATTAAGATTTTGAAGTGTCTAAATTTATTTAAATAAAATTAATAATTCACAACAATAAATGAAAAGATATTACAACATAAAGAGACAACAAACAAGAGAAAAGAAAAAAAAAGAAAAAAAAGAGGAATAATTGAATATGTAGTAGAAATTAGTAAAATATTTTAAATCATTATTAAATTATTCATATACAATTTATTAATATTGATGTGTATTGGAAACTGTTTACTTCTTTCATTGGTTATGTTATAGTAACTATCCTATAATCAATTTTGATTATGGTTCATTTTGGTTAAACCCTTTTATGAACTTACTTAACAGATAATGTTATTAGAACAGTAAAAATTCACATATTTCTTTGTACTGTTATGATCACTAGAATACATGACAGATTTTAGTGAAAATGTTGATTGCTTAAATATTACTCGATAACTCATTCTCCTCCCCATGTATATATGTACTCAAATCTTAGTATTAGCTTTTGCTTTGTCTTGCTTCACCCAAATGCAATTGGAATATAAATTTGCCTATGTAATTGCTTGCACATACTTATCTACCTCTGATATGATGGAGAGAAAAGTCAATTTTCGATTGATTCACTCATTATGAGTTATGGTTCATGATTACTTCCGTTTTGATTCACTGTAATGATTACTCAATGTAGTATTTGTTTTCTTTTCTCGTATGATATTTTGTTCTGTATAATATACGATATTCTTGTATTCCATTGATATGAACTATGCTCAGTATGTGAGTTGTTATATATGTGAATTCATCCTAATTATTAATCAAAAATGGGTATACAATCAATACATAAGTGAGTGTATTTTCTACTAGAGTTGTCGTCGTCGTGTTTTGGGGTTAATAAATCATCACTTATACTAGTCTTTGTGTTCATACTTTCGCGTCGTGGGAATGGCGGAGGTCCCTCGTTCCGACTATAAGTGATAAGCGTTTCCAACATAACAATTAGCGACGACCAGATACATAAAGTAGCATTAAAAAAGCCAAGACAATAAGCATTCAAACGACAAATTATAACTGCCTCTCTGCTTCAAATACACTCGATGTGCTTATCGGTTTGTGATCTTTGCTATCCGCTAATAATCTATAGTTGCCACTTTTCATTGCCTTCTGATTTCAAACATCGTTGAAATTTATGTAATAACGGTTACAAGAATGATTGATTGACGAAGTAAAGCCATTACAATGTTTATGTTAACTAGTGTGCAGGTTCATCAGTGAATATGCTTTTTCAGTAATCACTTAATATTCAAAACTAGTTTACTATTTTTTCTTATCAGTATACTCTGTTATATCTAGTAGTTCTGATTATATTATGATCAAAGTTTTTCACATTAGAAAATTGTGATCAGTTTCGGTAAGTGCCTTTAGTTCAGTTTATTTGTGTTAATGATATCAGTTAATTAAGTTATTGAGAGTTAGTCTGAACAGTCCTGGTAAGTTTTGAATACCATGTTGGGCGAATGCGCTTATCGTAACTACTAGTTGGAGACGTTGGATGATGTGTTGCAGAATTGCTCATTATGGCCCGGGTGGATTCACTATTTTTCACTATTTTTATACCTTGTTCTTCCGCAAATTGTATTGATTGAACCTACTCTTTTGTACTACAACTGTTACTATTCCTGTGGTAGGAACTACTCACAAGAATGTAAATGCATAGTAACTTCTCGCAATAAATACACATGTCTCTCTTCTATTGTAGTGTTTTACATTTTTACTTTTACTATCCTGGTATTTATTTTAATAATTATATATCACTGAGCTAATTTACTGCATCAACTTAAACCGAAGCCAGTATGTACTGGGTTCTTTGTAGGTTATAACTGATCAACTGATTATCTAACTGAGTTTAGTGACTTACTAGCTTATTGTAGTTGAGTGATTATATACAAATATATCTTCCATAACAATAACACCGAGAATTTCCCTACAGGTATTAAGACTTTAAAATAAAGAAATCTGATAAAAAGAGTCCAAGTAATCTAAGAGTGCAAGTTGAACACAGTTGAGTGATCTGTTAAAACCTAAATGTATCACTGATGTTACCGCAAACAAGTGGTATGTTTTCTGCTACTTACTGCTGGGGACAGTTAACATTTAAATGGTTCATCCTAGGTTCTGTACAGGAAAACATTATGTTGATTTAAATGTATTATGTTAGATATTTATTAATAAATGTTGGTTCAATAAAAAATTAGCTTACACCATAGTAACGAGACTGATTTGGTTGCCTTGGAGTGTGTTGACCATGGCGAGTAGAATGTTTTATGCTTCCATGTTCATGTCTTAATTGATTAACTGGATTTGCTGATGAATAAACTATCCCAAGTTCAGTAGAACCATGACGATTCATTGGATAATTAAGCGTATTATTGTAATATGGATTTGGAGATGTTAAATGGCGAACCGGATAACTTGTTGTCATTTGATTAGAAGTTAAGTGATTAAAATCTGGATTACTGCTTGTGATGTTATGACTCATCAAATTTCCTTGTTGATCAACATCTGCAGGTATATACTGAGAACACTGAGATGGACAAATATCGTGAGGTGCATAACCATGTGTACGGGAAAAATTACCATAAGAGTCTGCTTTTACATAACCTAACAAACAAATAATAATATTGCACAGTGAATGGATGGTAATTAAGCTGTGTTAGGTATTAAATAATGTCATTTAATTATAAACAGCTGCATATAATACTTCTAAAGCAACAAATATATTTGCAACTCATTCTGAAGGCTTAGTATATTAATAAATAATAAAAAGACAGTAAAACTCACATGATTATGGGTTTTATAGTCTTGAAATATTTAGTATTTAGTGACTTCAGTAGGAATAAATTTAACTCTGTTGGGGGAAATTTCTTCGTAAATGGAGAAAGTCACTGAATGAGATTGTTTGACCTATGTGTTATGCCTAATGATCGACCAATAGTTCAGTGTACCGTACTTATTGAAGTTTTTTTAACGTTGAGAGAAAATTGAGAATAGTCAGACGAAAACAAATAACTGCTTCACAAAGTTACTAATCATTAACTTGATACTTAAAAGAATTCAGATTAGCAAACTTCACTCACGAGAACCTGTATAGACACCTGAGAGTAATGACTATTTTTTGCACTTGGCTTTTCATTCATATTCTGGCATTAAAAAAACCTGACAGCTAAGTTATAATTATTAAATATTAAATATGGTACTTATCAATATTAAGTAGTATAAAATGAAAATGTACTAGTTTTTGACTTTCAATAGTCCTCATAGGTACATTCTTTAAGTTGTAAACAGTTATAAACTAACAGCTATGAATGGAATAACATATTTATGATTATATATATTTATTTTAGACCTGAAAAGCTCGAATAAATAGTTCACAGTGAAGGAACTGTGGCTGCTAGAGTCAGAAAAGCTGAAAACAAGGTAGTTATGAGGTATACTTTCAGTAGTGAATTGAATGAAGTTATAAAATCTGAAAAACCAGATACTGACAGTCCTCTGTGTTTGCCACTGACGAATCTGGAATTGCAGTAAAACATCCATCCAGCGTCACCCTATTTTCGATGGTTTACAAACTCGTAGCTAATACTCTCTTTCGATGGAAGAAATCTGCAGAAACAACTATACCAATTATTTGCTGAATTCTAAAAGATTAGAAGATGAATTCACACTGTTTTCATTCCTGCTTATAGCTACTTCTCTAGAGAATAGATGAACCGAAAAGTTTAGTATATGTAGGCTAAGTAGATTATCGAATTATATTATCAGTGAATAAATATATATAGGACAAAACATAGTCTATAATGTATATTATTCATCTTCTAAAGTGATCCTCTTTATTATTATTCCTAAAACTATGAAACAACAATCTTTCACAGGGTAGAAAGTAAAGGGCTATCACTATAGTTAGCACATCTTCTAAATTAAAAGTGGATTAGGATGTGGACAAAAAATTGAGTAGAATCAACAACTGACTGGTACTGTTTTATTGAAAGTAATTTGTAAAATCTACTTAAATTTTCTCATCTATTTTTCCACAGCTAAACTAAGTGTCATTTAGTAAGAAATCATTCATATTTCGTTTAGTTCATGTGTAATCAATATATCAGTGAGTGAAGATGAACTCTGTATTGAAATAATCAGATACTGTATATTTGTAGTCATATAGTTATATCTAAGAGTGAACCTTATTGTATTATATATGATTCATAAGTTTAGTACGGTTAGAATATTCATTTTGTATGATGGTCATTTTTTTAAAAATGAACTACCAATAAATTACAGAGTTAAGTTTATTCCAACAGTAGATTTGTACGTGACTATTTATTTATCTAATTAGCTTTTTTATTTTATTGAGATTCATTATCCTAGTATGAATGATATTATATTGATGTGACAAGTCAGCTTTCTTGAATAGTGTGTGAATGTTTGTAACATAATAGATTGTATTTTATAGAATAGTTTAGTGTTTAATTATAATGATTAATAGTTTAGATTACAAATTTCTCTTGAGAAGCTATTCAATTTTCTATAAATGACAATAAATTAATGTAGCCATCGACACCATCAATCATCACCTTAATGGAATAATAGTTTCATCAAAATAATTGATGTGTCATATGTAGGTAATATCAACTAAACTGTAACATATATATGGCTTTTTATTTTCTATTCTGATTATCAGTTAATTTATATAAAGATAGAAAGTCAATAAAATTACGTTACCTGAACTTGTGAGTTTTTTTTTGTTAGGTGGACAACATATACATGTTGTACTGATATCTGTATCTACAAAATTATCATTTTGATCAATAAAAGATGATTGAAGATGTGCTTTCATATCAGTACCAGATTGATCATGACGTGTTAATGCAACTCCATTTGTCATAGTAACTCCTTGATCAGATTTATATTGACGTCTTCTCATCATATTACGATGACGACGTCGTTTAATTAAGAAAATAATAACTATGACATTAATAAGAAGAATAACAAATCCAAAAACACATGCAGATACTATGATTAATAAAGCATTGTCATCTGAATAACCAGAATTTGATAAGGGTGGCATAGGTTCACGTCCATTGTATGAATCTACTATATAATAAAGGTTAATAAAAATAAATTATTCTAAGAATTACGGTATAGAAAATAGAATAATATAATCCCTTTTTAAATAGGCATACTCTTTTTCTTTGAAAGTATCTATTCAACTGCATAGTCTAAATGAATGATCGAAACTCGTTGAATTATGTTCTTTTTCTATTAAAAATTGTAATTATAAAACCTATATGGAAGTAATTTCTGACACTTGTTAGTGTGAAAACATGTCATTTATTGTAAACAGACTAAGCGTTCAAAGTCATCTACAAGACGGCGAGAACACATAGCAACACACTTTCAGCGCGGAAAGATGAAGAAGAAGATTTAATATCTATCCTTCAAAAGGATGGCTACTCAACCAACTTTAATAAAAATATCAACAAAACGCATCAGCAGAAACAAAACGGAGTACAAAAACGAATAAACGGGTCACCTACCATATATTAAAAGGCATTAAAAGTTACGAGATTATTGAAGCCGTTTGGATTAGGTGTGACACAAAAACGGTCAAAATCACATCAATCAATCTTATTCAAACCAAAAGACGAAGTGACAAAAGAAGAAAAAGCGAACATCATCTGCAAAATAAATTGTCTTAAATGTGAAAAACACTAAATCGGACAAAGTGGACGCCACCTTCATTTTTACCTACATGAATATCAATTAGCGGTCAAACACAATGACATATCCTCGCTTATGTACACGCATGTGGACAACTGTGGACACATATCCGACTGAAAAAATGTTGAGATCTTGGATAGAGGGAATTCTATAAACAGCAGAGAATTTTAAAAGCTTTGCACTCAGATCAATCAGCAATCATTAAAAACATTGAAGCAGATCGAATTTATCAACCAATCAGAAAAAATCATGGACAATTATAGGACCAAGAATCAAACCAATGGAAGATACTTTCAGAATAAAGAAGTAAATAATAACAGGCTAAAGGTCAGCAACACTCAGTGAAGATCGTGGTCTACAGGAAAAACAGTGAGTCAAATGTGGAAAAATTTAAACACTTTCTTTCTAGCTTAAGTTTGTGCTGATGATATTGTTCAGAAAAACAATGAAAGCTCTACGACCAAACCATCCAGCTCAGAGAAAAAATCCCATCAAAATAATTTTACATGAACTACAAATTTTCCCACCATCTCACAGTTTTATTCGTGGAACTAATCACTGGTGAAAAACTTACTTGGTAGTGTTCTTAAATGAATAGGGTCTGTGTAGGCACTAGATCCATGTTTTGAATTCATAGAATTCACACTGACTATGTATTCACTTCCAGGTTTTAAACCTATAAAGAAAATAAAATAGTATAGATGTTAGAATACTACTGGAACTAATACACGTAATTAGCATAATAAAACATGTAGTATAAGTACATTCGAACTAAGAGAATAGAATAGATTGTTCGTTTATTCACAGCAACAATATTCTATTCCTAATAGGTCCCAGTTGAAAGTTGTTCATTAACATCAACCTTAAAGATCTTAATACTAATAATAATAATAGTGATAAGTCCACCGGTGATTAAAAATAGTTTGTATGAAATAGAACAGTTAAACAAAAAATTATTATTCAGTTCTACACACGAAAATATGTATGCAAATAAAATGCATTAGAATGATAACAATATTTTCAATGGTATAAACTGATTAGATATACAACTTAGCTAAGACGAAATATTTAACCAGACTAGAGTTTATTTATGTCTAAACTAAAAGTAACTGAATGATAAGTAAAACTGAAATCATAAGGTTTAATAAACATTTCACTATATAAGTGTGGTGTTTGAATTAACAAATGATTCTTTTGTACTTGTTGATTGCTTGATTTCGGATTCTAAATATAATAAATTCGTTCGTGCTTGTCTAGTATTTCTTGATTCGATTGCGTTAATTCTGGGATTCCTAGTTCATACGATAATTCAAATACTTTCAGACATTATAATAAGTTAAGTTTGACAAGCACAATTGAAGTAAACAAGATCATCTTTTAGTTAATTGAATAATTATTTTATTTTTTTTAATTAGTTCAATAAATTTAAATTAATGTTTATATAAAAATAGGTTATTACTATTATTTCAAAGTAGAATGTTCTATGCATAGATGGATAGTGGCTAGCAGTGATATCCAACTTTGCTTAAAAAGCTTATCAGCTCACTGAAGACAATTGTGTACGGTGGCTTAATTTCGTGGATTGGTTGAAGTTAAACATTAACACCGTTGGATACCGGCTCAGTGGTCTAGAGGTTAAGCGCTTGCGTACGAGACTGATAGGTTCTGTGTTCAAATCTCACGGAGTGCGGGATCGTGGATGCGCACTGTTGAGGAGTCCCATACTACGACGAAACGGCCGTCCAATGCTTCCAGGTTTTCCATGATGGTCTAACTTTAATTGACTCGTGATTTCAACTAGTGAAATTTCTAAAAAGCTTATGACTTAAGGCTATAATCAAGACAATCCTCACAGGATGCACATATGCCAACAAGAGACTGATCAATTACGATCCTAAATAACAATGGGAAGATACAAGCAAAACAACAACAAGTAAATTTAGAATGTTTTATTTTTTCCAAGGTTAAATGCTTCCTATTTTAAGAACAATATTTACAAATAACTTGGGTTCTCAAATCTCTTTTAAAATAGATGAACAGTATATTCATGTCATGTATTGTGTAGCATATTCGTTTACAGACATAATGTGTTAGTGTTTAGTGATACTTGTTAACTAGAAAAATACAAAATTTTCTGATTAAAAACAATTTTGTTAAACTGAATTTTTTCGTTGATTTCATTGATATAGTACTTTTATATCATCCTTTAGATTCCATACTGTATTCTACCTGGGAATAAAATCTTTTTACAGACTAATGAGGTGTTCAAAAATAGTGCATATTATCACAGTTATATGTTGTTACATCACTCTACAAAGTAAAACCTCAACAAAATCAGAGGTTTACCAATTAGAGAATTTGAAATGGTGCGATTCTCTTTTGTGAAATATTATATAACCAATAACTTGATTGATCTGTAAAAGTAAACAATTTGAACTTTCGTTACCCATCTACTTTAAGTTGATATTCAGCTCAGCTCGCATTCTACACAATGTTATGACTTGTGGCCTCGTGCCCTATATATATGAGTAATGATACTGCCAATTGGAGAACAATGATTTATTGACCTGACCAATCACACATAAAACCCGTAAGAGTAGTCTGAAGACTTTATCGGTCCTGATTTCTGCTTAGTCCTGCCTGTTAAGTCCAGAACAACAATCTCAGCATCCACGATATGTATCATGTATTTCAAACATACTGGGTTTATATACAAACCAAATAAGAAAGATTAGTTCAGCAAAGAGTTCTCTTTTCGGCGAATTCATTTTCAAAGCTGTACAATCGCAAATATATATACTTATTTTTACAGGGTGATAATAATACTGATAATAAACTTCTGTTATACATGGTGACAGTGAGGTTAAATAAACAAAGGTCTTTAAAAAATTTTTTCTAAACAAGGAAAGTTTAATAACAATGTTTATAGCAATTTGAGACATAGCTATGATAGTCTTCAAGAGTTCATACCATAACATTTAAGTCAAAAGTGGTTATCTCAGCATGATTTAATATGAATAGGCAGTTTACTGTGAAAACAATGTCTTTTCTTTATTTATGTATAAGCTTTTACAATTTGATTAAAATATTCTGATTACTTGATTAAGACGTAGATACTTACTGAATATTCAAATAATATAATAATCTAATTAGTAACACTTTTGAAAATAGCTATAAACAAAATATGTCTCAAAGTTAATACACCATTTAAAGTTAAACATACCGGTAATGAAGTACTCAACTCCATTTCGATTATCATTTGACGCTACATCAGCATATTTATACAAACTAATTGAACCAACTTCACGCCAACGAACCTAGCAAATAGTAGAGTTGATTGTGAAAAAATAAATCATTACATTTATGGTCACTATAAACTTTAATAATTTGTTGAAATAGTATCTGTATTAAATTGAGCTGAATGTTGAAAAGTCGCTGTTTGAATATTACTTTAAGAATAAGTAATACGAGTTTGAGATTTTACGTAGGAATCACTTATCCAATGATAAGCCAATAAGTAAATCAATAATGAAAATTAAACTACTTGACATTAGATTTCTGAAACATAGATCGTTTATGACCTAAGTTTATTAGGTTTTGTTTGGATTTCGACCTAGTTGAATACGAGAAGTAGTCAAGATAATCAACTACTAATCTCTCACTAAACATATAAATTACTCAAAAACGGATGTAGTTTCAAATATTCATATTAGACGTGAAAGACTGTTTTAAGTGTCTCAATAATTAATTTACAGTATTTCCTTTATCGAAACTCCTACTAAACAATTACAGAGAAAATATAAGTCAGTTATATGTGTTATACGTAGTAATGTTTCTGATTTGTCTACTCAGTATATTATGATGACGTTTTGTTATTTTACCAAGTACAGATGAATGATAAGACTTACTTGCCATGATCCTTATGGAAGAGAAAGTCAAAAGACTTGTAGTCAAACTGTGAAGTTGATTTCCCTTCCAATGATAATAATCATTTGCAGCAGTTCTGAGAAGTCATACTGAATATCTCTAATTAGCATGTACTTAAAGGCAGTAATTAATTTAATCTCTGGTTCTTATCACTACATTGGACAACGTTTCGGAACCACTGCTTTAGAATACTAACTTAGAGTTTCAAATTTATATAATACTTTATCGAATGCCTTCATTTAACATTTTCCAAAAGTTAAATTCTGAATTTTATATTTTTGTACATAGATATTTAAAACCCAAAAGACAAACCTGAAAAGTTTGTGCCAATCCACCATCAAAACCTTGAGTCCAGGCAACATGCAAAGTTGATGTGGTTGCATTTAGAAGACGAAAATTTATCGGTGCATCTGGGGTGGATGTTCCAGACAAATGAATTCCTAGTTGAGCTTCACCTTGTAAGTTAGCAGCCTAAAAGGGAAAATTTCACTAATAATTTCTAAGAACATAATTAGATCGAGCTATCGTAATGTATGACAAAAAACTATTCGATTCGAGTCTTGCCTAATGATATATTTTGGGTACAAATTATGAATTTTGAAAAGAATAATTGACGTTTCAATCAAAAGGCTTTATGTTTTTTAGCTCATCTAAAAATGCCGTCATATTGAATGTAAACAGTCATACTCCTCATTATTATAAACAATAAAATACACTAAAGTACTTTTGTACTATACCGCATCTGATTAATTGCTTTTTAACTGAAAATCAATAAGATGATGCTTTTAGATTTCATAACTGACTGTAAGTATTTGAGTATGCCAGTTTACTTTTATTGAGATGTTTCTTAAAGTTAGTTTTGGTTGAAAATGGTTTCCGACACAGAATGGTATAATTCATTGTCCTACCATACAAGGAAAATATAGATATTCAATGACTTTTGGTTTCTAATGGCTCCTCAAAATGTCACTCTGTGATAAAAAATTTTCACAACAATGTACTTCACAGTAATTAAAACAAGCATCGTAGTCCATAATTTTGTAGATATGAACTTATTTTAGGAAAGAAACCATAGGTATATGTGCGGCAACTGAATGAAGGACATAGATACGTTGGGTTTTACAAATTATAGAAGCTCCAAGTAAGTGATATTTTAGGATCATACATACGTATAAAATAGTTTGGGCTTAATAACAATATGATTTCACCGCTTACTGGAGTTCCATTATGCATAAGATAAACACCATTGGATAGTACTTTGTTCAGTAGACAAAGTAACTCCAACCCATACTACGAATATTTCTAGTCATATTAGAATATGTCCTCTGTCGTTTACATGTGTTGTCAACATAAATAGTTGTGGGTTTTGTAAAATTCATTATTTTGAATAGCATATTCCCCTATTAACGCAATTTTATTTGACATCAATTAATTGGTTGAAACCCATTTCTGAACATGCATTATTTTTTGAATCAAATGAGGATAGAAATATCTAAACTTTCGATGTTATTCGTTTTACGATATTACACGGTGATCATACAATGCAATCGGTGATAACAAACTCGTTCCTGATATAGTCTAATGTCACAGATTATACTTTCTCATTAGAATTAGTTTTGAAGAAAGTCATTGACCCCAGATAAATAATAAGCTGTTAGTTGACTGCCTAAAGTTATAATATTCCTTTATTTGATTTATACGAAGTAGTGAGAGTGTTGTGTTAACGACTTTCGGATTAAGACACTGTTCATTGTTTTTTTACTTTACAGTGATTTATTAGTTGGCATCAGTTTAACGAAAAATCAATTTTAAAGTTTGTAGAAGTTGAGAGATGCAAAATCGTGATAAATGCTACAGTAAATGTATGCAAATAAGTCTAAAATAACACCATTTAAGTTAATTTTGTACATATACACATATTTTAAAGAAAAAGTTATTGCTTGAAGCATCTGAGATATCTAGTTACCATCCAAATACACATGATTAGGGTAGATTATTTACTTTAAAATTTATTTATTTTTGTTCAAAAAAGGATTAAACAATTAAACAAACCTGACAACTATAGGAACCAAAGTCATATTTTCTAATATCATTAACAGCTAACTGAGCTTTATATAATCCAGGACGTATATGAGTTAAAAAATTTTCATATTTTTTCATTCCATTTTTACTATCTGTAGTTTTACTTTGAATTAACGCATCCATTGGGATTAATTTATTATCTTTGAGCCAAGCAATTTGTGGAGTTGGTTCTGTACGAATGTAACATGTTAACCATACTTTGGAACTTTGTTCACCAGCTGCTTTTGTATATCGAGGCAATTGAATTATTTTTGGAGGAACTGTAATGTTATGGAATTAAATAATGTGAAATTGAAAAGAAAACAGATTTATGAAATTTTCTACTAAAATATAAATATGGCTTAATAAAAGAAATCAAAATTACAATTCTTGATTTATCATTGAAACATAATGTCGTTTTACATTCGCTTGGTGTTGTATAATATATATGTGGGCTAAAGTGTGCCTTGGTGTTGGTACAACCCACAAATACTAAAGTGCCTAAATTTTGATATCTTGTCAAATATTTAGAAAAGGGGTTCTTACTGTTTGTTGTAGATCTGAAGAGTGGAGTAGCATAACCTAATAGCTTTCAATATAGGGTTGCAGAGATTGTTGAGTTTTAATTGAGATCATGAATAGGTCAATGTTAGACCACTATTGAAAGGCTGGAAGCACCGAACGTTCATTTCATCCTAATATGGGACTTCCAGGTAGTGAGCACTTACGACCCCTCGCACGGGACTTGAACCCAGGACCTACGGATATTGCGTTGACCCTATTTTGATATTTATCATGTACTCAATAGTGACTAGCTCCAAAAGTAATTCTCAGAGTCCCAGTAAGAAGCCGTGATCATGGTGCTACTTCAGAGCAAGGAGTGCCTTCAATATTGAATGAACCGATATCCCCTTAGGAGTCGAACTTGTACATATTGTCTCAAGGTATGTAATTTCAAATCATGACTCATTATTAGTTACAATGAAAGTCAATCAGCAGAACTTAACCAATATTGAAAAGGATAATCAGTGGTCAGTTTTTGTTAACTCATTACTTTGTTAAGTCAGTTTTTGTGAAAATTCATGAAAAACTTACAATGATACAAAAGATTAAATGTCTTCTTCACTGGTTCACCTATTCCATTACTGACCTCGCAAACATATTTACCAACATCATCTTCTGTAAGTTGATAGATGTAAAATGTACTAGAAATTTGAAACTTATCTTGTTGAAAACACTGAGCAAGCATTTTTGGTTTGTCAACCTGAGACTGGAGAAAATCAAATAAATAAAAAGATTACGTTTACTGCTAGACATATACGATTGTGCTATGAAAACAATCGATTAAATGGTTCATGCACCGAATTCAAATGAATTCGTAACTGTTGATGATTCAAACGTAGGGACTTAAGAAATAATTTTTATTCTGTAATCATGAAAGCGTGGTCAATATGTCTTCTAGCAAATGTTCTGAACTAATACTTTTATCAGAAAGGGTTTTTGTGGATAGTAATTTCAATAGTTGAGATCATGAGTCAATTGAAGCTAGACCAAAATTGCGTTCGCGCATGAGAACGAAAGTCGGTATTGTGGATGCGCACTGCTAAGGAGTCCCACAATAGGACAAATCGGCCGTCCAGTGCTTCCATATTTAAATCCATCAGTAATCAAGAAAATAACTTTTGATAAGTAAACGAAGTTTTGTTTAAAATTCAAAATGAACATTGAGAAAGATAGACTTGCTTTAATACATCAGATTTTGAACTACAATAATATTTGCTCTTATTTGAAGTTACTTTATATCATGAATCATCATTAAGTGAAGAACTATTGGAAATAAAGCATTAACAGATAGCTTATTAGTAATAGTCTTGGATCACTACTTAACAGTGTCCACTAACGACCCAAAAATTGATTTTATTACACTAATTCAGAATTCAGCTGTCTATATTACTAATTTTCGTGTTAGAACTACTGACATTATGTGTAGCAAGTTAAGGAAGGGATAATGGGAATATGCAAATCAATGAATTATAATCGAATATTTTAACTGTAAATTCATTGCGTTAAATATTAACAGACAGTTTGTCATTATATTTATTTCATTATAAATATAGATAGTAATTAATGCTGAATGTTCAAAACATTTTATTTATTAGATAAGGCAACAAGTAGAAAATTTGATGTTTGTTTAGTAAGCTAATTTACTCCAACTTTATATCAACATTTGTTGTTATTATAGGAAACTTAATTTTAAATTCAAATGACTTTCACTATTAAGTCGTAAGTAGTTTGAATAATATTAGTACATCTTTTACATCATTTTATATTAGTCAGTGTTTTGTATTTGTAAATACACTTAAGTTGTACTTAATCGTATCCTATGTCGTCCACAAATCCAGAAGTAAGTATTCCTTCCTCGTGTTGGTAATAATCTACCGAATAGTGTTTAGGCTCAAACTACAGAAGGAATTGTTATTATGTCTATAAAGACCAGATCTGCGTTTTTAGGAAAAGCATGTTTAGCTTTCTATCTTACCTTCTCAGACCCAAGGTCCTATAGACCATTAATAATTCAGATTATGAAATGACTCGATTATACTAGTGACTATACCAATCCACTACGTCTTCAAACCATAATTTATCTTATTTAGCTATTATTATAAGTTTTCCTGAATAGTTTATGTGGTGTTCATCCCATATTTTCTATTTTTCAATGTTTTGTAATATGTATTTAAACAACAGGTATTATTAGCATTGTCTCGCTTAACTTACAACCTAATTACTATTCTGTCAACCTGACTTACAAACTGCTTTAAGTATGCATTACATGGATGTTATTTCAACGTTTGTTTGAAAACGATAGTAAAGTAAGTTACTTGATTACTAACAATCCTAAGTTGACGTCTTGTATCCTGAAAGAAGTATCTATATTAGACTTGAATATTCTTTTTCATCATTAAATTTTTCAAACATGTTTGGTTCTGGTTTAATACTTAACTAATATTAACCATCTTAATACATTAGACAATTTTATCTAGTCTTTAGTAATGATAGAATTTTATCAAGTTATAATTTGACCATTAGCCCAAGTGACCAGATATTACTAAGTAATAATGTCTCTGATTGTGAAGCTGGATAACTCAAGTATGAATTCCAGGAGATGCATTAGTGACACTATGATTACAGATAATGAATACCAAATACAATGAAATTTAAGTCAAAAAGTTTCATGTTGACCACTTTCGCCTGTCTAACATTTAAATATTCTAAGTATATTTGCTTAAAGTGCTCTTGACAACAATCCACTTTTATGAACCATTATTTATTTCTTCATTAGATTCTCCATTAATCTCAATAAAATACTCAATTCATGTTTATTTATTTAGTTTCTTCTTTAAAACAATCGAAGAGATATAACTATCAAGTGTTCACTTTATTAAGACATACAATAACTCAAAAACATACCCCACAATCTTAATAATTATACAGACAGTTTTCGGACATTTTAGTTATAAATAAAAAAAACCGAAATGAAAATTTTCTGCTTAGAAACATCCGCTCAACAAAAATAAAAAAAATGAAGAAATAACATTTGATTAATTTTATTCAACTCTTTTTCGAAGAAACAATCTCTACTCAAGACTGTGATTGAGTATGTAGCAGTAGTAGTAGTAGTACTACTACTAATAATAGAAGTAGTAGTAGTAATAGTAGTAATAGTAGTAGTAGTAGTAGTAGTGGTAGTAACAGTAGTAGTAGGAGGAGGAAATTTGTTCAGAAACGAAGTTTTTTATTGTCAACTAGAATTTTATTTAATATAAATTGACATATATTTTAAAATGATAAAAAGATTAAACAAACAAATCATGATATTTATTTAATGGAAACAATGTTAACTAGAAAATTAATGTTACAATCACTTGACTGAGAATTTACTTACACTTCAATGAAATTAGTGTAGTTTTACTTGATAATCAGGTTAAACTAATTTTTTTAAATAATTATCAGTATAGGATTGTGAAGATTGTTGTTATGATTGGATCAGTGCTAGACCACCATTGAAAAAGGCTCGAAACACTGGATGGCCAATTCGTACTAGTATGTGACTACAAATCAGTGTACGTTTACGAACCCCCCATGTGGGACTCGAACCTAAGACCTTCGTTATCACGCACAAGCGCTTGACCTCAAGATCACTGAGCTGGTATCTAACGGATGTTAATGTTCAACTTCCAGAAATCTACGATATTGTGAGACCTTCCACCATTATCTTCAGTGAGTAACTACATCACAACAGACACGGCTGAACTCCACTGATCATGTCTTCTCATTAGAACTCTAGGAAATCCGTTTTGAGGTTAATCACTATTTCTAACATGGATCCACTCATGATATCAATCTAAACTCAACAATCTCCACGACCTTATACTGATAATTATCATATACTTACTAGTGATTAGCTTCCAGATGGATTTCCTGGAGTTCTAATGAGAAGCAGTGACTAGTGAAGTTCAACCGTGTTTTGTCGGTATCAATTACACTTTAATATTTAAAATATATCTCATTCTATAGAATGTTATGAATAATGTTAAATGTGTGTTTATGAAAAAAAGGAAATATTTTTCATAAAATCGAGCAAAAACTGGAAAGTAAATTAACATTTAAACACTAGTTATTTAAAATGAAGTTATATTTGATAATTTTTTAAATATTAAAACAAGTAAATTCACTGAAACTTATTCCATATGGAATTACACCATTTTAAAGTTGTATAAATAACTTTTTATTTGTGAAATTAACTTTGATTGATGTTAAGTTACGATTAGGCGGTAGATAATAAATAATTATTATTACTGTAAGAGTTTGTGGAGATTGAGTCTTCATAAATTACATAAAACATTGATTCTAATTGAATGATCAGTGGAAACCAGAAACTAATGGATATTTAATTCATCCTAATGTGTGACGTCTTAGCAGTGTGCATCCACTGAAGATTAGGCAATAGACTTTTAGTGTCACTACGAGCTTCTAATCTTTAGTTCAATAAGCCGGAATTCAGTGGTGAATATGTCTAGTTCCAAATAATCTGAGATATTATACAACCATTTGCTATTACATATGGTAGATTAGAATGTTACACACGACGAGGTTAAACCGCACTAGTCACGGTTTTTCACTGGAACTCCTGGATTTACATCTCACAGTCACGCACTGCTGAAGAGTTCCATGATAGGACGAGACATATATTTAGAGGTCTTAAATGCATTAACAAATGTAAATTAGTATCACTGGTCAGTAAATTTGTTGGTTGATTTTAAGTGCAGAGTAATCAACTCAGTATATTGTAGCTATTAAAATGAGAAGTACCAAACAGAGCAGCAGTATGCTTATTAGGACTAACCCACACTTTAAAAACTGTATGACTCTAATCCATCTGACGAATTTACCAACATTCTTTAATTAGTGGACGATTAACACAAAAAAAGGAAAAAAGTTACGTACTTGATTACAATAAATCGGTTCACTCAGTTGTAATGCCCCCTCATCTACTTCTTCTGTCCAGCCCTTAGGTGGAAAGTAACGATACCATTTAAATGTTCTATCAGGTATAGCCGGATTCGCATTAGCTTTACAATCTAAAGCAGCATAGTCTTTAGTCGTTTGTGTAATGTTCTCTTCAAGTTTACCAACAATACTTGCTGGATCTAGTTTTAATTATTTTAAGAGAAAAGAATATGGAGAGAAAATAGAAAATTTGTGTCTAAAACAATTTATAACTGTAATGATGTCAAAAATGTAAACTCTATTAATTGGGAATAATATTCTCGGAGTTATAAAAGATTTTAATAGATTGAAATTGAAAAATGGTTAGATGTCATTTCAAACACCTACATGATTCATTCTACGTGATAGTGCAAACGACTCAGATATAAAGACTGTTGATGTGAAGATATATACAGGACATTTTGTTTTTGTTATTAGTGATGTTGATTTCTCCGAGATAAATGAGTTAATTGTGGAACTTTCATTGTCATTATTGACATGTTTGTGTAGAAGTACATGATATGTGAATGATACGTTTAAAATGTCTGATTAAGATATGAGAACTCTTCAGGCAACAACGTTATACAAGACAGTTTGAATTTAGATATAGTTTGCTACAATCAATAAAATATATGGAGATTTCGATTATTTAGATATAGTCGTTTAAACGTTTCTCGCAGCCATAAAACTGTGAAACATTTTGCTGAAACTCAGGTAAATTCCTTACCATACTCTTACTATAATAACGGATTTCGGAACTCATTGTACAGAATAATATTAAAAGCTTTTATTCAAAGACTGAACTCTATGTATTCATGTGATTTTTCCAATCACAGCCGTTTATTCACTAGTGGTAATACTCCACAGTAGTAATAGACAAATGTATCCAATCTTTAACTTTAGTTAAAAAATTAAATGACATTCTATGCGTATGGTCGTTTATAGCAATAAGAAGAATCTTCTATTTTTAATGAAAGTAACAACTCACATGTAACATTAAGAAAAAATGTGTTTCGTGATTCATGTTGTGAATTAGAAACTACCACTGTATAATTGCCCATATTTTCTCGATTAATTTTATGTAATGAAAGTAGTTCTCCAACAGAACCAGCTGCAAAAACACCTTGCCATGTATCAGTTTCTTTAGGTTCAAATGGAAGTAATTGATCATTACGAAACCATGAAACAGATGTAACTGGAGGATTTGCATATAATCCAAAGTCTAGATGAGTCGTTTCACCTGAAAAAGGAAACACAATTTTCAAATAATTTATCAACAATAACTGATTATTTATATTGTGAGATTTAGATCATTATTATAACCCAAACATGTAATTTATCAATATCTTAATGTTGCCAGTTATACTGTGATATAAAGCAATCGTTACGATTGTCAATTATAATTCACTTTCTAAACAATTTTGCTGTTTCAATTTGTATGATATAAAAATTAAACTGTTATTATTAATTTCAATGGTTGAGGTCATGAGTCAATTGAAGCTAGACCACCATGGAAAACCTGGAGGCACTGGACAGCCGTTTCATCTCATTATAGAACTCCTCTCTTCCCTTCATTGTTTAATTTTAGTTTTTCATGAATTGTTAATGTTGATCTTTGACATTTTATAAGATCCAATAAATTTTGTGGTAAGTAATTGAGCATTGAGTTATTTCATTATGATAAAAGTAACTAGATTATGTAACTTGAAGTTATCTTGACTATTATCAGTTATCTATATATTTTTAATCTAGGAAATTAACTATGTAAGTTATAGAATTCTACTGGAGATCTGGGAAATGTATTGCCCAGTAAGTTCATTGCTACACAAACAAGTGGTTTAGATAAATTAAGTTGTCTGACAAACATTCTGTTTAGATGTTGCATTACGTATGAATCATTGGTGAATCTTTGGTAATATTATACGTTCTTTTTTCATACTGGCAGAGGAGAAGAGAAATTCAGATCAGTTATTTATATTACCTTCTACAATACAATTAATATACCCGTTTCTACAATTTTGAAAGTGTGTTAAACACTAAAACAATAAATTAAAGAACATCAGAATTATGTTTCATGATAAAACTGAAAACTATAGTCTCTAAATGTTATTTAATCAAATGAAGTGAATAAACTAAATGATAGAAAGAAAATAGTTTGTTAAAAATAGATAAACTCGAAGTGATATTTCAATTTTCATAGTAGTGAAAAGTCTTTAACTTGTCTAAGATAATCGTATATTCCACTGGTTGAAATCATGAGTCAGTTTAAGCTAGACCAGGCTTTCTACAAAACCCGTTCTGATAATCGTATATTCATTGAGCTTTGTTCGTTGTTTTTACCCAGTAATCCGCTTTCCTAATCGAAATTCTATATTTCTATTCTTATAATACTTCAGTTTCAAGCTGGACCTATTTTAACACATTCTGTGTTATATCTTATGTTAACTTAAAACCATAATCTTATCTATGTAATTTTAATCCAATTGTATATGAAGTAAATTGAAGCAAGTCAAAACTTGTCACGTCAATCTAACTGCTAAGAGCATTCAGTAGTAGCTGTATTGCTGATAAATAAGAGTTTGTTTACCTGTCATTTTCATTGTTTTGCGAATTAGACTACAGGAAGTCCACTTCCGTCTTTATGCTGAGATTTTAGACAGTATTGTAATATTATTCATAATACTAAAACAAGGTTTGTTATACAAGTATTACGTCTAGGTGAAATGTTATTTTCGGAAAAAAAGCTAAATGTTATACTATTCTAACCATTCTATCCAAATTTCTTTACTACAAGTCATTAATAATAGATGCTTTTCAGCTTTATTTAATTATTTTCTTATCGTAATTTAACTTCACTATCTGGAATTTAATCCCCTGGACGAAATATAGTCTTCGGATATTTTGTACCATGTTTTGACTTTTCAATTTAATTAGAATGACTTCAATATGATACTAGATTCCCGTGTCAGATAACTGCTAGTCAGCTATATCTCAGACCATTAATTCACATCAAAAGTTTTACTATTCTATCTAAATAGTCTCTTGAATGGTGACTAAAAAAACATACTGTAATCATTGTTTGTTTCATACTTATGAAAAATCACAAAAATCGAGTTTCTCCTATTTGAATGTATTATTGGTTGACTGTTTTTATAATCAATTGATATATCAAGGAAATACTGTAGAATACATTATGCTTGTTTTTTTCCCAGAGAATCAAGTGCTGTATCATCTTATTAATGAATGTTTTCCCATAAGAATAAGAATAGTGAACGAATCCTCAATTAACTTCATATAATGGATGGAATTCAAAAACTTATATGGTCTAGCTAAACACAAAACGAACGATATGTGGATTTGTAGAGAATGTTTTATTTTTACAATTGAATTGATGAGTCGATTTAAGCTAGACCACAAGTGAAAACGTGGAAGCACTGGATGATCGTTTCATCTTAGTATAGATACTTGGTTTTCAATGGTGGTCTAGCTTAAGTTGACTAGTGAATTCAATTGTGATAATAAAACAATCAAACAGAGAGTTCGCCATCGTAATAAGTGTTTGTTATATAAAGCAACAAAATGTTTATGAAGTTTGAGATCAGTGGATTTATATTCACACCTATGAAATGTTAAAAACTGTAAACAATTAGTTAATTCGATAAAATGTGTTACGTCGTTGAATGTAAATATATTGAAAATTTATGGTTACAAAGTTCACATTTTCCATTGGATCACATAGTTTAGTTTAAATAACGTGAAATATTAGTTACAATATGCTGTATGTGAGCTTTATTAACGTCCAGATGTCAATTCCGTATATTAAGGATAGTTTACTCCAATAGAGACCTGAAGATACAAAACTTATTTCAGTGAAGCATAATCATTGGATAAACATTGGTGTGGAGTCATAAACAAGAATCAAAGGACTATCTAGTATAATTTACATTTTAATGATTCTCTGATGGTAATCTCCAGTAAAAATCACATTCAAATCAACCAGTTTACCACAAACCACTTAAATATCTAACTCTATAGATTAGTATTAAAGAAAAGAACGCTGATAAAAGTGTTCAAAATCCAACCAATGATAGTTCGCACGTTTCACTAAGTTTATACTCAGTAGCATATGGTACTTTTCAAATGCTACATTTGAAGACGACTAGATTTATCATTCGATAAACTATTACCATATATGAAAGAGTTAATAATGTTTCGGCTATGTGACTAATAATCCATCCATTCTCTGTGTAGCATGATATAAGTTTCAAATTCTGAAAAAAACATTCTTTTCCTTATGAATCTAAACAACAGTTACAGATGAAAAAAGGCAGTTACAAAGTCAAAGCATCACGTATCTTTCAACTATTCAACATTAAAATCTCTTTCATCAATATTCATTTATACTAATACATAATCTAAAAGTGAACAAATATATATAATAAGTTGGAATGACTCATCTAATATCAAATATAGTAAGCAAACAATCGTTTATTTTTCTAGAAAGAAATATTACTTTATTAATTTTACTTCTCAACTCCGCCTGGAGTCCCTCTGTGGGCTACCGAAAGGTCCAAAGCCCGGATAAAGGGGGAGGATTGGACATGAGGTTAGCGGCTCCATCCCGTAGAAAACTAACTCGCTAAAAAACGCTAACCAAAAATTTATTAAACCTAAGTAAACTTAATTTTTATCTAAGTGAATTTATTGTTCATGTATTTAAAAACCATCTTCTTATTTACATGTAACATTAACAAACACTAAATACAATCCTTAAGAAGACAATTTACATGATTATTACTATTATTATTATTATTATTAGTGTAAAGGCCAATGAGTTGCAAGCGAAAAATAAAAAAGGACAAAAAATCGTCTTGTAGTTATAGTTACATAAATAATTTTGTTCCCCATTTAAACTGTGAAAAGTATTTATTTACTTTTATTTTAAAAAAATAAACAACAAACAACTAACACAATGGAGAAGGAAATTTCATTGTCTAATTGATTAAGTTAGATTTTATAAAATACAGAAAAGAATCATTCATGTTTATGTTCTATTTATCTTTTTTTTAAGGAAACCTTCAGTTGAAATAAGCCAAAATCAATAAATCAGGACTTAGTAGATTAACATATATAATCTACATTGTGTCATAATGATTGATTATTTATCTAAGCGAACATATGAATTATTCGTAATACTAGTATTGACTATTAAATAATTTTAATAGTTTAGATCATGAGTCAATTAAAGCTAGGGCACCATGTAAAATCTGGAAGCACTGGACGACTGTTTCATCCTACTGTAGGATTCCTCAGCTGTGCGCATCCACAATTCCAACCCAGAACCTATCAGTCTAGAAATCAACCGTTCTTGAGTGAGGTTTTTCAGGTGATCTAGCTTTGAGTGATTCATAAATTCAACTAACAAAATTAAAAATAATTAAGTAAATACTTGAGGATTTTGTAAATAAACAAATGTTTAATGCATTAGTTATAAAATGATTGATTTTTCTCTTACAATCAATTGTACAAGTTTCAGAGGAATTTTAAAACCTAAATTGTTTGTATTTTCTCAAGAAAATATGTTTCCAACTAAGTTTTTCATAGGATCTTTTTTGTTGTTGTTGGTGGAATTACTTCATTTGTTCATTGATGATGATATACATGCACATAATGTATAGTATGTTTAATGTTTTATGTAAATTTTAAACTAACATGGAGATAATTTTACAAATTAAGGAAGTTCTAAATAAAATGTAGCAAAGAAATTAAATTGAATTCATTAACTATAGGTTAGAAACAGGAAATCATAAACTAGAAGTGCATATTTTAAATAAGACGAGTAAAATTTCATTTAATAGGTGATCGGGGTGATTTAAGAAAACATTTTTATTAAAGCCTAGAAACTATTGATCAATATCTTGTGAATGGTTTGAAATGACTGGAAATGTATATGACCGGAGAAAAAAATGTTAATGAAAGTTTTGTAGAAACTTACATTCTTTATAATTGTTATGTAATTTTCAAACTATTTTCAGAGATACTTTTATGAATGTTACAATGAACATCAAGAAAGGAAGCAACAATCATTTGTTGTTATTGAATTTTATATGATTTTTGGATTCATGTAAAATTATCATGGGAATTACCACCGTAGTGATCACGATAATATGACAGAGTGAACAGAGAAAACATCAACTCTGAGATGTAAGTACATCTAGTTGATGACGCAAAAAGTGTGTTCTGGATTCCATTGATAATCACTATCTGTCTTTGCTTATAATGACCCAAATAGGGTTTAGATTAGTAATGTTCGAATGGTTCAAGCTACAGTAATTACATGTCTACGAAAACTATCTCTTCTATTTTACTACTTTACCATTATCTTGAGATCCCCTCCAATTTAATCAGAAGTTCATGCTATATTCCTAATTTTCATCATTCAATCAATCAAATCAACAATTATCCTTTATATTTATATTATAAATTACTCATTACTATTACTTCTAAAACTATTAAGCAACTGGGAAATGTTTAATAGTTTCTAATAGTTTCTTCATTTTATTTAAGAATACCATCATTATTAATCATCGTTATTATTATTTATGATACATTAAATGAATGAATTACATAATTGAAGTAAATCTTAAGTAAATTAATTTTCTTAAATTAGAATATCTTTATGATTTTTCATTCAATATGTCAATGTTAAAATTGACTTTAGCAACAAACTATTTTAAAGGATAAGAAGAAAGTGAATAATCAATTCAAGTCTCTTTCACTATTCAACCTGATTACTTTACCTTCTAGAAAAATAAAACAATGTCAATGTAAATGATTTTTCTTAGAGATAGATTTATTTTAATTGAAAAGCTTGATTAGAATACTATTTCTATGTTGCATAGAGTGTTACATAATTTTAAAGGAATATTTATGTAATACAGTTGTATATGAATTTGCATTTATCGTTATCAGTAATCACTAGTATTAGTTATCTTATATTAGCTCATTTTAGAAGTTTATACAATAAAAAAGGTCTAAAATGCATTTTTCTTCCTAATAATGTTCAGTGTGACAACAAAAACATATGTCAGAAACAAGTTTTTGAATTCATCTCCATGACAACCAAGTAGAGTTAGAGACATAACCTGTCGGTATATTACGAATCGGTTAAAGATTTCCATGTAAACCATTGGATGACGGTTCAGAGATCTCTAGATTAAGCTCTAACAGGAAGACCTGAAAGTTTAAGATTCGGACTTGTATAGAGTAGTGGTTGTGCACTGATGAGTTCTGTACTAGAACGAAACGACGGTCCAAAGATTCTTGGATTTGGCTGGTTGTTTGATTAAGTTTATTTTATGATGTAAACCAAAAATTTTGAAACTCTTCACACATCCTCCCGATTAAGATATGAGATTTTGATGTTCGTTTATTAGAAATCGTAGAGTGATATTGTTTTAGTTTGTCTAATTAATCACAATACTATTTAATGAATGATCAAAAACTGTGCAGTTTGGAAATGTTTTACCAGTTCAGTCGAATCATCACTAAACTACACACATCCATTTACGGATCACTGTATGGAAATCAGCTGAAGTCATAGCTTCGTTCAGTTATTTTAAGTGATGCAACAAAATAATACAAGTTCCTTTGTCACGAAGCTATTTATGACAAAGACTGTAATTAAACAGTCACTAATTCGTACACTGGGACTGAATAAAAAATGTTATTTATTCATTTTTATAAAATACTTAGTGTAATGGTTCCTTGGCCTAGCCTTAACCATAATAAATTCTTAATTGTATACTGAATGGTATGATATTAATATCACTAGTAATAATCACGACAAACGGAATGTCATGTTTCATATTTCGTTAACATTATTTAACTCTATTTGTAGTAGCACATCACTATATAGTGAATCTTCCTCAACCTTTTCTTACAGAAAACTCAAACTGATAACTCAAATTGTAATTATTTATGAAGTAATCGCAGTGAGATTCATTATTCTTAATCTTCAGTACTAATCAATTTCATATTTATATTCTAATGTACTGGCTTTAGTAATGGAATATTTAGATAGTTCTGATCACTGACTGACTTCAGCAAGACAACTATTAAAAATTAGGAAACTGAGCAGATGCTTGATCTTAGTATGATACTGTAAGCAGTACAAATCCTCTAACTTCTAGTAACTGAACTCGGAAGGTTCAGATCTCATGTTCAACACTTACAATTCAGACTACTGAGTCAAAATACGGTCGTCCACCTTTTTGATATTAGTTGTTCTCCAATGGTGAGAGACCATAGTCAATTGTCATTTGTGATATTTCTTTCACTGGCAACAAGGTTGAACATTTTAAGTCACTAGAAATTCATTAATTGTGTTTGAAAGTTAGTGAGAAGTAAACCTATAATCATTGTTAATAGGGAATATAGTGGTTGTTTTGGCAAAAATAATATTCACAAATTATAGAGTTTGATGACAGATTTATTGAAAACAACTATCAACCTAAATGTTCTTTATTTTTGAAATACAATAATTATGTTGAGCTATAAAAATAAAATGGACGAACCAATCAGATATAAGATAATAGGTCTCGGGTTTTGGCACGACACTCACTCATCCATTTGGCTAGATAGAGTTTTGGCATTATAGCTGATGTCAGTTCATGATGAAGACTCTGGATCTAATTCTTAACCTTAACCATCAAGTGTAAATCATAATTGTAATTCCTTACACTGGTTTATAATCCTTATTTGCTCCTGGTTATTAAATGGACAGCTTCAAGGTGATTCTAATGCCGCTCAAAGGTCGTCCATAAATTATAGTCTCACAAAATAATATATTTAAAAGGAAGTTATACGTGAAGATATATGTTCCATAATCAAAACAAGTGGATAAAATAAGTTTTGTCAATTCAATGATATATGACTGAATCAATTTAGAATTAGACATTGGAGTCCGTTACATATAACTTTTTCTTATAAAGTTATCACTTACCTTCTCGTATTACTCGGTGATCACCTACTTGAAGCCCATAGAATTGTGGTGCAAATGTGATATTTAATTGAAGTCTATCATGCCAGATAGGTGGACCATAAACTGGATTCTCCGCTTGGCATTCAATAAAGTCCATATGATATCTCCAAGTTGGACGTAGCCATAAATGACTTCTGGCTAATAAACCACCGGATGCTCCAGGAATAGGTGTTTCATCGGAACCTAGTTCAAAATATAATCATTGGATTTCTATTATAGAAATCATAAGTCAAACTTTATTTTAGAATATCCAAATTGTCTACAAACAATCACAAGAATATGTGAATTGTACCAGATATAACATCTTTAAAATCATATCATATTAATAAACGGTGGACTACACAACAAAAGCCGTCAAATAATGTCTATAAACATAATGGTTCAGTATGTATAAATCGTGTTTACTGGTGAGATATTTTTATTTTCAGATGACGTTTTCAGAACGTCAACGGATTTAACCAAGCAATGAAGTCGTAGTAACTAGAAATTCATTAAAAAATACGGGTTCCAAGTAAAAAAGAATAAACATGTAGCTTCCAAAATTATATTTTAAGACTTAGCTGTATGTATTTTCGGTTAATTACACTTGCGTAACTAAAAAGATAATTCTAAATTCTGATCACTAGTAAAGGCCTATTTTTTGAATTGTTTTCTTATTATCTGATTTATTAACTTTTCTGCGCCAAACATATACAAGAAGCCAAAATTGCAAATTAATGGATTTGACCATTATAGTCTCCTCATTGTCATTAAGTTTTCAAAAATCATCTTCAAACTCTGTTCACAGGATATAATTTAAGATCACATAGTGTATTTAGGAACAAACAATGTGGAAATGAATAATTGTCTTCGATGACTTCTTTATCAGACTCTGTAGTTATAAGTCCAAATTTATTATTATACGATGGGTAAAATAAGTCATGTAAACGAATTAGACACTATTATCTGAATGTTAAAATAGAGCACCCCGGCTTTCGTTAAATCTTCATCAAGTCGAAACTGTATTATTTTTAGTATTGAAACACACTTTATTTTCTTTAGAAAGTTGTGATATAATCTTGTAGATGACGTATCTACTCTTATTATTCACCTGTATGAAATAAAGCAAATACGGTTGAAGCGTTATTGTCTTGTAACGCATAATTAGTAAAGTGGAATCTATGTTTCCATACATTAAAGATGAGTGCGAAATCTTTTAGAAATTTAGCAAGTTTCATAATAAAGAGAAAATGACCAGTAATAACGTCTAGAATAATTTAGAATTTTTATGCCTGATATTAATAAAATCCTGTCACTAACATATATTTACCAATAGCATAAGTCATAACAAGTTTCAATGAATATTGAACAGTGCTACATCATTGTACTGTTTAATGCCTTCAGTAATGCTCAACAATAATCCCTAATGAAGAACTACATTCATTCTTAAGGATTATCAAATCAAAAACACCATTCTCAAATACTGAATCATTTGCTTTAGTCAGATTTCGTTAACTGCAATTAAATGTATTCTGTAAAATTATATCTTTAATGGCAACATCACAACCATCTTTATTCGAGTTGTTTGATTAAGCATCTGTAATGATGGAATTAAAAAATTCTTCACAAAATATACCATTCAAAATTTAGCAATTATGTTGATTTATTTAACCAACAGTGAATTTATCTGCTTTCAATAAGCATTTTATGTGATTCCATTAAAACCTTTAAAAAAAAACTGTTTGAAGAGATAGAAATGATCATACAGTCATTGACAGTAATTAATGTTACCTTTTAGTTCTAATAATTTACACTTTTCCCCTTCATTTGTACTACTACTAGATTTTGGTAATTTTTGTTGTTGTTGTTGTAATAAATGACGTCGATAAAACGCATGAGCTGGTCCACATTGATAATGACGCCATGTGATAACAGCAACTGGATTTGAACTATCTGCTTGACAGTTGATTTCAAGTTGTTCACCACTTTGAACTACCGATTTACCGCCAAAATTTAAACTTACTCGTTGTGGTGGAAATAAAACATTTAAAATTATAGCTTCACTATCTATCCATTCATTGTTTGTTGCAGTGTTACGAGCTGAACAACTGTGAATAAGTATATAAAAATAAATGGATAAAAATTAGTATGATATGTGTTTCATGTTTGTGTGTATTGGCATACAGTAGGCAAATAAAATACAGTGTTACATCAAATATATATTTCCCATACTTGTATTCCCTGAAATTTATTTATACTTTATACTGATATAGGTACCATTTATAAGTTCATAACCAAACCGAATGACTCATTTCTTTCTGTTTGTTAGTCGTTATGAATAATCCTATTGTTTTATGATCATTTTATTCAACAGATATAATTTACTGCATATTCAGTCAGATGGAATTTCATCAAAAGTGCCCAATTTTGAAGAGAAGTATCATGAAAGAATTTAGTATCAAATTTAAACTCTATAAAAGATCATTTCGAATAATATGCAATAGAATGAAAATTGAATATTAAGTATTATTTTGCTAGAAATGTTCTTTTATTTGGTTTCAAGGGATATGCGAAATGAGAATTATTCAATTCAAGGTTATGTACTGTGTAATATGTTGAATGAATTTCGTACTTCTGTTCGAAACAAACCTATCCCTATAATATATATGTCAAGAGACTCTGGTTCATTGTGACTACTTAAAGGGTACGGTAGTTTTCATAAATTTTATTGTTGTATTATTATCAAAGATGATCGATTTTATTCATTTAGTTTTGTTGTTGTGCGGCAATTAATTACACCATGAAATACAATATCAATGTGATGTAATTCTACATTCATCTTTATTGTCTTAACATTAAAGAAAGTTTAATCAATAAGTAAATTAAAGTATGATATTTTTCATCACTAGATAAGTAGTCACTAAGGAATTTAAATGTCTTATAAGCTTATTAGTGACATGTTTTACAAAAAGAAACATTAAATACCAGCTTTTTATTCCCAATTAAATGAAATAAGAATAATTTATCAAGAATATATCAATGTCAAATAGTGTTCAGTAATAAACTTGGCATAATGTTTTTGTTTTTAATCCGAAGCTAATATCATTTCATTGATAGAATCAATTGTTTTATACAAATGTTCATTTAGCCATAAAAGTTGTTGATATATATTTAATGATATAAACTGTAATTAGTTTACTGGTGTCAATTTACATTGATTCAGATTATATCTAATAACCATAAAGAACGGAAATATATATTACTGATAGTGTATGTATTATTAACTAATTATACCATAATAATGCCTAAAGTTGTTATAAACACTTCTATATAAAAGATCTACTTACTCAACTATATAATTTATTCATCAATCTAAGTATAGATAGTAAAGTTCTTTGAGTTAGTACATTTCAGACATTTAGGTATGTAGGTATATTTAAAGAAAATAAATAAAACTTTATGTATTTATTAAGAGTTTTATTCAATTCTCAATCTTATTTACCATAGAGACTTTAATGATAATAACTATGTTTGTTACTAATTATATCAAAACTTATTTTTCTTAATAAACAAAAATGAGTTCTTTTAACATATTACAACAGTATAAGAAAACATACTTCACTTAATTATGACTAGCACACAGAAGTACTTGTAAGTAGTAACGTTAACCAATTGAAAACAATAATAATAATAATAAAATTAGGTTGAATAGGATTGGCATTTTAGCTTTTTTTTAAAACTAAAACTTTCAATGTAATTCTTATTCTAATTGTAAATGAGCTTTCTTTCGTTACAAGAAAAAAAATTTGGTCTTATTGTTTAATACAATCAAAAGTTCTAGACAAACCGATAAATAAATAAATAAATAAATAAACGTAATAAATAAAACAAACTTAACAGAATCATGTACCGGCTTTAGTTACTATGTGTTTTATGATAAAAGCGTAACATAACTAAAATTAACTGAAAGAAAACGGAAATCATAAAGCAAAACAACAATAGCGTACAATCATAATCATAATAATTCATAAAAAAATAACTAGTATAGAACTAGTATTAAACATGAGAAAAAATCAGCTTTAATTCTTTATTTTTGTTTTGTTTTTTTTTCCTCATAGACATTTGCGACGAAGAAACAAAAGAAAATAAGAGGCCAACAATTATATTAAGGCTTTATAAGATTAATAATGGATAGGTTTAGGCAATAAAGATTGATTTTGAATAAAATTAGTTAAAAAATGAGATAATAAATAAAGTATGTAGTCGGAATGTCTAGATAGAGAAATACAATAGTGGTGGAGAAGATTTGTAGCTCAGGTGGTTGATTATGATGGAATTATGAATGTGTATGTTGTTATCTTTATTTTCTTTTGATGCAATAAACAATTCATTATATTATCAGAATGGGTTTTGTGGAGATTTTTAGAAATTTCACTGGTTGAAATCATGAGTCAATTGAAACTAGACCGTCACGGAAAACCTGGAAACACTGGATGACCGTTTCGTCCTAGTATGGGACTCCACGGCAGTGTGTATCCATGAACCCGTCCCCGCGAGATTCGAACCTAGGACCTATCAGTGTCGCGCCAGGCGCTTAACCAACTAGACCACTGAGCCGGGAATCCAAAGATACTAATGTCTACCTTCAACCAATCCACGAGGTTGCTCCACCGCACACCACTGTCTTCAGTGAGTTCCTATCTCACAACAGACCTGGTTGAACTCCACTGGTAATGACTTTTCACTAGAACTACAGGAGTATCTCCTGAAGTCAATCACTAGTGAGCAGGTGATTATTATTATCAGAATGGGTTTTGTGGAGGACGAAACGGCCGTTCAGTGCTTCCAGGTTTTCCATGGTGGTCTACCTTCAATTGGCTCATGATTTCTACCAGCGAAAATTCATCATATATTGGAATTCTGGAATTCAGTATTCAATATATGTTCTTTGTAATGTATGATTAATTTGTCGTTGTTAACACATTCTATTGTATGTATATTACCTATAATATTTTAGTGAAATGGTTATTTATAAATTAAGTGATAACCCAAATATAAGTACATTTTCTAAAAAGAAAAACTAAATATTTTAGAAAGCTTCGGCTCAAATCTATAAAATAATTGAATAGAATGATCATGTTTTTTCGGTTGTTAATGTCTAGAAGTTGAATAAGAATAGTGAACTATTGTATGTATAATGTAAATATATATTGATGGTTTATGTTATCTATAATTATGGGAGTAATAATAATCCGGCTATAAAATTCTGATATTCATTAAAATAGTTTCCATGTAATAGTAACACTAGTAGTTATAAGATGTTTTCCAACTAATAATGAAGTTAACTTATCATATAAAGTAATTATGAATTTCAAATGAAAAAATGATTTGTGAAAAATTATATTGATTATTTATGATTCGAATGATAAAAGTAAGTATATACTTAATGTAATAAAACTTACTGATATTCAGCACCGTTATCCTCTTTTTGTGGTACAAGCTTTAGTTTAATAGTAGTTTGTTTTCCAACAACAATTGGTTCACCATTGTTTGTGATCGGTTTTTTATCTATGTAATGTAAAACGATATACATATATCAATAGATTAAAAAGGGTTATCAACTTGATCTTAGCTTTCTTAGATTTTCTTCTAATTGATTTAATACCATTGACTTATCATTATTTTCGAATAATCGATTTATGTCTCATTCAATAAAATTTCACTGAAAGGAATTTGATTTATAGAGTATATTTGTACAGTTAAGTAAAAAGAAGCATAAACTAGAATCATGCTTCAAGTTTTAATCTGAAATGCACGTCCTGAGTTGAAACGTACTCAAATCAACAGAAAGCCAAATGTCTTTAAATCGTTGATAAAAGCTATAAGAAAGTCAGTTAACTAATTTGAGTTAAAGCATTGAATGAAGCAATTTGTTTTAGTATAGATAGAAATCTATTCGATAATACGGATTATTCATCTGTAAGTCGTTAACATATTCTGGATATTATAATGTAGTTGTTGAACGTGTCGAAATATTATTACAGCAGTTAGCCACTTCTATGGCTAAATTAAAGTATTATCGAAAACGCCTGATAAACATAACAAGTTTAAGCCGAAAATTAGAATTTATTTAATTGTATTTAATCTTAGTAACATACTAAACAATATCAGAATACAGATAGAGAAAAGATATCTAAATTGGATTTAAATGCAATGTCAATTTGCCTGATTTATAGCAAACTACTGGAATATGCAATCAAATTATTTATATCTTATAATTTAAACAAACATAATTAAGTAAATTTGATAAATAGATGAATGTTTCATTGAATCTTGGTCATACATAATCAAATGTATGACCTTTATTGGACTTACAATATAAAGTTCATTTTATTCGGTAACATAAAATATAGATATGATGCTCTCTTTCAGTAGTTATGTCATCTTACTCAGACAATTGAATAACACCAGTAATATCACTTTCATTGATTAAGTATTTAGTCATATATTATATTTATTCGCTAAATTTTAATAGAAATTTGCTTTTCTTTTAATCATGATGATGATTTAGCATATGGATTAATTATTCTCATGACAAAACGTAACATTCTGTAATCGTTTATGGTAGATTATTTTATCTAAACTGAGCTCTAATTTGTTTTTAATGGACAAAAATGAATCAATGGGATAAAGTACAGTGTTTTAGGTAAGTTGAAAAAGCTTGAACAAAAAGAAATGATAAGTATTACATTTAATGTAGAACTTTTATAAGTTTGATGCAATACATTGATGAATTATTTTTCAAACGTTTAGAAGCATAATATAAATCAGTAAAAACGCTGGGTAAATTTAGTTGAGAAGTGAAACTAGAGAATGCCTCTTAAAATCTGTTCCCTAACAATCTGTGTATTCAATGCGTTTGGTTTGTTAATTTATATCTGTGTAAGTTACTTGGCTAACAACTTTCATTTTGTTGTTTAAACGTATTTTGACATTCAGTAGGAATAAACAACAAGCTACTTTCAAGTTGTTGATGTATGTTACAAACCATAGGGAAACAAAATATCTATGTAATTAATAAGATATTTTTAGTAAGAATACTAATGACTATTTAAATAAGCAATAATCATAGTAAATTGTTACTTAAACTACACTTACCTTTAAACCACTGGAGTTCAGGCAGTGGATTGCCACCTGTGGTAGTACACGTAAATTCCAAAAGATGAGCCATGTTCACTGGTTGGCCACTTTTATAACCAGTAATCTTAGGCGTATCTGGGGGATCTGTAAATAAATAATATTAGTAGAAATAAGGTTCATCGTGTAAAGCGTATTTAAAAATGTTTATTCAAAGAACGTTTAGTTCTTGACTTTTATTCTGAAAGACTGCAGTTTCAAAACCTTTTTGTCTGAAATATTACAGCTAATCACATGTCCATTTTACTTTATTCTACATCGTTTGTATCTCGTCTGAATCAACAAATTTATGCTTAAAGTTTTTCAAAAATGTCTTTGAGTCTGTTAATAAAAATAATAAACACTGTGATTTAATTTTAGCAAACAATTAAATAGAAGAACTTGTAAATATTCATCTCTGTAGGTCTATGACGTGGTTAATAATTATAAACCTGTCTTTATAGCCATCAGGATCATCATCGTTCTTTAGATTGAAGGCATATCTTATTTCCCTTATATATATACATCACAATCATGATTTTAAGACTGTTAACTTTATTAATGACTAGTTAGATACTTGATTGTAAAATAATCGGATTTATACTTGATATAGATATATTTCTTTCCTTTTAGGATTTCTGACCTTCTATATTTTATGGTCTCGTTTACAGGCTTTCCTACATTTTACGGCTATCAGTGAAAATTTGTTTAATTCTATACTTTTAAAGTTTTAATACATTTGTAGTTATGTCAGTCAGTTACTTTGAATTTCTGTTTTTCAATTTGGATTTAAAATCTTAGAAATGTTCTCATCACTGGTCCATTATTTGTTAGTATGGGGTTGTGGAGATTGTTTAATTTCACTGCAATCACAAACAGATCTAAGTTTAACGACTAATGAGAATAAAGTAATACCGGACATCAGTTCCGTCCTACTATAGGACTCTTCAGCACTACTCAGTCATAACCCCAATTTTCGAAGTTTTAGCAAAAGCCAGTGATTAGTAGAGCGAAACCGTGTTGGATGCGAGAAACAATCCTCTGAAGACAATGAAAGATGACTTACAATATCGTGGGTTAATTGGAGTTAGACATGTATAACATCAGATCCCCGCTCAGTGGTCTAGAGGTTAAACATCTATGCGAGACTCTATATCCTAATTTCGGCTCCCAATTGTGCTGTTGTGTATGTGCACTTCAAAGGAGTCATGTATTGGGATGGAAAAGCCATCCAGTGATTCCAGGTTTTCAGTGGTGGTGTAACTTAGATCGGTTTGATATTTCAATATAGTTCATTATTTGATAAAATACATGTTATCATACTTTCTTATCAGTTTATTCCTAGCAGAAATAAGAATTTTTATGCAAGTCATCACATTATATACGATAAAGTGAAAAACAAATATTCAAGTAGAATCCTTTAGAAAGTTGAATATGCTTGACTGAAAAACCAGTGAACGTTTACGATCCAGAAGACGTTTGTCAAGATTTTTTTTAGTACATTTAACTAACAATAAATCATTCAATAAATACATTTATTATATTGATCATATTAAGTTCGTAAAAGTAAATTTGAGTATGGTTCTTGTATACAGAAAACAGAATATGTGAAGCAAAATTTCTACTGAAAATCATCATGTGAATTCACAAGTATAGAAGAAATTCTAGTGTAGTCTAGTCTATTTTTCAAAATGTTAAATGGAATGAACATAAAATTGGATGATGAAGAGTATTTGTCAGCCATTATAGTTTGTCTTAAATCGTCTTTTATTACCTGACAAGATTCAAATTGCCAAATCATATTTGTAAATGATGCATAGTGAATTATTGAAGAGTAAGTGTTTCGATTTTTTTTTATTTATTTATAAATTACTCATACTTAAAAATGTTTTTATTTTATCATATAGACAAACAATAAATTACAATTTGATCCAACCAAAATAACGGTGCTTCATTCCATCAATTTTCAATGAGAATATTGGTACAGATATGACAGGATGTAGACATGTGTTCTAATTATTTGAGCATGGATTCTTTCAGCTTTATTATAGTCTACAGTTTTTCATATTGAAATGTTACGTTGAATTTACATTTTGTTATCATGAAGAAAATTCAGCGAGACTATGATTTATGGACGAACCAATCAGATATAAAATAATAGGTCTCGGATTTTGGCACGACACTCACTCATCCATTTGGCTAGATAGAGTTTTGGCATTATAGCTGATGTCAATTCATGATGAAAACCCTAGATCTAATTCCTAACCTCAGCCATCAACCGTAAATCATAATTGTAATTCCTCACACTGGTTTATAACTCTTATTTGGTCTTGTAGTAAACAGAACACGGGTGGGGACAATCGAATGTATTTGACAAAAAATTACAGGACTTGTTAATAAAATCTAACAATCATAAAGTAAATGCTTAATTTGCAAAATGTCCACCAATTGTCTCAAAATGACTCAGACTTCATTGTTCTTCCATTTTCATACAAATTGCATCCTGTTCCCATTCTTCACTGTTCGGTTCTCTTGTCTCTCTGCTGCCAGACATTCTGTTCACGACTAACATCATCTACTACTTATGTCAATATAAGTAGCACACACCACAGTTCTAGTTATTAGGTGAACACTCTCACGGTGACTTTAGCGTCGCTCAAAGGCCGTTCATAAATTATAGTCTCACCGAAAATTCATAACATATTTCTAGGTTATACATATGACAGTTTCAAATAAATTATCTTTGCAATATTATTGTGCCTGTAAAGTTACATGAATTAGTTGGTAAAAATTCATTATTGTTCAAATATAACTGAATACTTAAAAATCGCTTAACTCATATCTCAAACATACTTATGATTTAAGCTAAGCTAGTTATCGAATCACAAATATATATTCACTATTGAATATTTAACAAACTTCTCAACATTTATCGTTTGTGTTATTGTTTAGTATTGACAAACAATAATGATAACAACCATTACTATAATATAATTCTCACCCACTTGTCATTATGACAAATATCAACTTTAGTATAAAGCTAAAATGATAAATAAAACTTGTGAATAAAATTTTTTAAAATGATTTTGTATTTCTTTTTATCGGACTGTTATTATCAATCGTTTCTAGGGTGAAAAACGTTTTCACAGACATCAGTTTAGTAACTAGATAAATTATTTGAAGTTAACTGATAAAATCAAGTGAATAAACTGAATTTATCCTAATATGATTAATTAGTGATGGAATTTGAAAGAGAAAAGAAGTTTTCAATACACCTGTATTGATAGACTGCTATGTGTAATTGATAAAAAAACATAAACAGTAAAACTTTATTAGCATCTATTTCAATACCATTTTTAATTTAGATTTTGATAGAAAGCACTGAATTTACAGTCTATATATAAGAAGTTTAATTAAAATGTATTAGTTTGAACAAGTTGTCAATATGAGAACAACATCTATAAGCGAATAATATTGTTTTCAATCAGATTCTCATTAGGTTTTACACTAATATACAACATTTATATGTATATATAATTATATCAAACTAATCGAAGCAGTTCATTTAGACAAATAATAACAACGAAATTGATTATTTGGCTAAAAATGATGGGTAAAAGGTAGAAACTGATATTTGAGTTTATTATACTTAGTTAGGTAATGTATTTTGTCATTAGTATTGACTAATGAAATGCCTCGATTGGATTGGTATTTTCATATATGCACACAAATATTGTGTATTAATATGAAGCCAAATGAGGATCTGACTCAAAGCAATATTGTTCGGTTATATATTTTGTTCTAACTGACAATATAAAATTCCATATCATGATATAAAATAGTTATTCTGTAACTACTTGATAAACGTATTTCATAATAGTATTATTTGAATATTGTAGTGGTTAATCTTACTGGTCTCATTTGTTCTTCATTCATTGATAATATAGAATTTCTTTAACGATTATTTTAAATTACACATGGTTGTATATGGTAATGGAATCCAGTACATTTCTTTAATTTTATTTCATAGCATTTGAAATCTTTGGTCTTAAAAGTGTTAGACGGAAGATCAGTGTTTCAGAATAACAACATTACTAGCATTTTGATATGTTTACTAATCTCACTGCTGTCCGGCAATGAATACAAACACAATAGTAAATCTAATAATTTAAGCGAACATATATCTGACGAAGAGGAACTCACGGATAATATCTAGGCGAACTCTTGAATCAATGCGTGCATCTCCAACACTCCAAACAAGACAATCTATATAACTTCTGTCATCTTCTGGTCGAACAGTGATCTGAATCCGTGACTCTTGATAGACACTCTCTCCATCAGGTGTTTTGAATGTGACAGCTTTATCAACCAGTTGTTTGGGTGGTGTTGTAATACTAGCACCAGCTGCTTGAAATAACCACTTAATAGTTGCCTGACCGTAATATGGAGCAGTTTTGCAAATAAATGTCTTCATTTCACCGGCACGTGCATATGCTACTTTTTCAAGCCGTCCACCAGTATGATCATCATCAATGCTACCAGTTTCTACTGAAATTGTGACATTAGCTGGTGCATCTGTTATGGAATACAAATGAATTGTCAATTCTTCAACGATCATTTTTAATAAAAATTAATAAAGCTGACAGAAATTAGAAAAAGATCATTATTATCAATAAAAGATAAGATGGAATAGTTGGTTCTGTTACTTAAAATAATAATTATAAAAGGAACTGTTATTTTGAAATGTATTACATATTACAGTACTAGACACGACTAATGCATCAAAGAAATGAGTGTAAAATCATAGGCCTTGAATACTGACATTTGAGTAATTGATAATTTCCTAGGAATATTATTTATCATCAGATAGATATGAAGATTAACATGTAGATTGTAACATTAGGTCACTATTTATTTTGGATTGGAATACATATTAATAAATAAGGTTTTATGGAACTGAAGTTAGAAATGCATAATTGAATGATGAATTAAAGATTCAGTACTTCCTTATCTACTTAAAATAAATAATTGTTATATTTATGGCATTTTCAAGAGATGATAGATGGTATCATGACAGTTTATAGTAGGTTTGATTACAGATTTCACAGCTAGTGGTATGTAAACATCAAACCAAATGTACTACAACTGGTGAAAATATAATGACGGATTAAGACTTTTCATAAAATCTACTGTTTTGTGTGTATCTATTTAAAATGAATTTAGTAAATAAAACCTTGATATATTCATACAAAATAGCACTAACAATGTTCGGGAAACAAATGTATGATAAACCAAGATGGATAGTGGCTAGCAGTGGAATCCAGGACACGTATTTCTTCCCATTTGGGACTCATCAGCTGGATGTGCCTGCATATCAGAGTTGATGTTTCCTCAGAAACGCAAACCCAGTACCGTTCACTTCAGACGCCACCACGTTATCTACTTAGCTACTCAGTCCTGATAGCCATTTACTTGTGCAACGAAGTGAAATTTAAATTCACTTGGTACTGTATACTTGAATATTAACATTTATTTTTAGGATTGTAAATGATCGGTCTCTTATTAGAATATGTACATACTGTGCGTGTTGCCTTGATATTGCCTTAATTCATAAGCATTACAATTAAAGATGGGTGATGGCTAGAAGTAGAATTCAAGATGCACGTTTCGTCCTATTGGAGACTTTTCAGCTGGATGTACCTATATTTCAGATCAATTACAATCCTAAACATCAGTGAGAAGATTCAAGTAACCAGTACTAAGTGAATTAAAATAGTATGCTTTTTCACAAATAAATAAATGATTTGACAGGGAATAACATTTTTATTGTGTTAGATTGTGATGACCAAACTTCATACATTAGTTTGTATTGTATTGACTTAGAGTAAAACAAAGTTAAGTTAATTATATCTTTGTCTTTTTACAAAATTGTAATCCAAATTTAAAATTAACCACAATTATTGTTAGTGATGAACCAAAATAATTTAACAGCTGAATTCGTGAGTCAACTGAAGCTATACCACCATGTAAACATACCATTGGATGTCGGCTCAGTGGTCTAGAGTTCAAGCACTTGCTCTACAGACCGATAAGTCCTAGGTTCAAATCTCGGGAGACAGGATCGTGGATGCGCACAGAAGGACACAACGGCCGTCGAGTACTTCCAGGTTTTTCATAGTGATCCAACTTCAATTGATTCATGAACTCAACTATTAGATTACTATAATATCCACAAAACCTTTTTGTGTTTATAAAAAAATCTAACTGTATCATATATATATTTCTTACAATAACTAACAATTCATACGGTTATTACAAATTTATAATATATAGAAACGAGAAGTAAAATTGAAATTATTTAAAATCTGATTTCCATTTCAAAATATTTACCAAACTGAAAGCAAAAAAGAAACAAAGAGAAAAAGACAAATTCCTAGTTGATCCACAACAACAACAACAACAACAAAAAACTAGAAAAAAACATCCCGTAGAACCATTTGAATGAACTTTCAAAAAGAAAAAGAAAATCTAATTCAATTACACATAGTTAATTTAATTAGTTATTTGACTGAAATTATGTTTGATTCATAGAGAACATTATTTATTTATTTATTTAATGAATAAATTACAAATAAAATAAGGTTGATTGATTATCAAATAAAAAAGAAAAAAAAACCCAGTTATGTTCTTGTCCATCTTAATTCTTCCTAATATTGGTGATGAATGTATATTTGAAGAAAATGAAATTAAAGGTCAGTACTGGGTGATGTGATTGTCTTTTGGTTAGATATTTTCAAATGAAAACTTTCATTAGTTTAACGAACTTAAAGTATTGAATTTATCTATCTATCAACCCATCTATCTATCTTGACACCTATCTCTCCATCTATCTATCTATATATATATATATATATATATCGGCAAAGCAAGACCAGCATATTTACTGGAGAACATCTGGAACTCAAAGCAACTGTCAACCAACACCAAGGTCAGGATTTTCAATACAAACGTCAAGACAGTTCTACTGTATGAGGTGGAAACGTGGAGAACTACGAAAGCCATCATCCAGAAGATACAAGTGTTTATTAACAGCTGTCTACGCAAAATGCTTTGGATCCGTTGGTCAGACACTATTAACAACAACCTACTATGGGAAAGGGCAAACCAGATCCCAGTGGAGGAAGAAATCAGGAAGAAGCGCTAGAAGTGGATAGGACACACATTGAGGAAAGCACCGAACTGCATCACAAGGCAAGCCCTCACATAAAATCCTCAAGGCCAAAAGAAAAGAGGAGGACCAAAGAACACATTACGCCAAGAAATGGAAATAGACATGAGAAAAATGAACAAGAATTGGATGGAACTAGTAAAGAATGCCCAGGACAGAGTGGGTTGAAGAATGCTGGTGGGCGGCGTATGCGCCATTGGGAGTAACAGGCATAAGTTATATATATATATATATATATATATATATATATATATATATATATATAAAGATTATTCAAACAAAAGATTTTTGTAAGTATCATTACGAATGTTTTACTTGATAGTTTTAAATAAGTTGACCATTGGGTAGATTGTTATTGATAAACATAATATATTTGTAATATCCTAATAAGTAGATAAATTAAGTTTTTAAATTTTTGATGTTTCGTGACTTAATGTTAGCTACTTCTTCAAAGAATAAAAAATGATACGTAGCTCACCTTGAGTTACGTTACGTCAGAAATTTTGAAAACTTATTTTTTCTACTCAATGCGATATTGCAAATATATTATTTTCATTAAAAGATACTGTTTATTGTATACACGTCTGTTAAAATTTGTGACTTCATGCCCTATTTATATATACAACGTGATGATATCGCCAATTAGAGAACAGTGATGCCCGTCAAGTCCAGCCTCCGCGATATGTATTATTTATTTCAATCATACTGGGTTTATATACAAATCAAACATACCACATCTCAGCATAAAATAGAAATTTACATTCATACAAGATCTAGCCGAAAGTGGCTGTGAATGTGGCAGACAATAATTAATAGACTGGATAGAACTCAAGAAATGTAAATCGTATAATAATAGTCAAAATGGGTGAAAATAAAGCTTATAATAAGAGGAACATGAATATGCATAGTTTAGCTGCTTAATAATTATGCGATAATAATATATGTGTCGTATTGGTCCATAAATTGTTCCCAAGAGTTACCACTCGGAATTCTCGTCGGGATATAATAAAGTCATCAAAATGTTAAAACCAAATCAAACAAATTCACCCAAAAAAAACGTTGATAATAAAAATTTCTACTCAACTTCGGATATTTTGAGTAGGAAGACACTATGATCAGTGACACCTTGCAATCACTAATTAGTATTGTTTTAAATATGATATATATTATTGGGAAAACAAGAAATCCTTTAATAATGACACAGTTAAGAAAGTGTAATACTATTACTGATAAAAGCTAACGTAATTCATTATAAACTTTATTTTAAATCCATTGAACAGTACAATGAACAAAATGTTAAGATAATAAGCGAATAATTTTGAATTAACTAACTGAATTATCTAGTTGAATTGAATGATCCAACTCAATTATGTACGTTTGCTCAACTTTACTCATTTTGATATTACATTGAAACAAGTATTTCTTTTTTTCATTGTTTAGATTCATGAACTAATCGCTAATGTTTACTATTTACTAAATAAATTCATCGCTTGGAATCAAAAAGGCCTTCTAATACTTTCTATATAAAAGTGCATTGTGAATTTTAGAAGTATCTAGTCAAATTTGAAGATACTTTGCTAGTAATCTTCATGGATGTCTTATCTAATAAACCTATATTTGTATTGAACTTTCTTTAGCATGTAATGTTTTCGTATTCGCTAGTTTCACAGTTTGTAATTACCCGATTTAGGCGCATTACGAGAAACTGAACTTATAATGCTGTAAAATTCATTGTTTTCATTCGAAAGCTTGTCTTATCAAGTTATCAGTGTTTTGTTTTTGCCAATTAATTGGTGTTTAGATAAATTTCTACTTCAATCAAGGTGAAAACGAAAGGTTTTTTGTTATCATAAAATGAAAAATGATAGTATTCTATAACAATCTAAATACATATAAGGACTTTCGACTAAATTTGATCAGATTGTTTCACAGTATTCGGGCACCGGGTTGATGTGAGACATTGACAAGAGAGAATGTATTTGTAAAATCCCAACGAATGAATTTGAAGTAAATCCAAAGTTTCGTCTGTCAACCTGGTTCAAGCTTCTTTAAGGAAGTTTATCCAAACATCAAAACTATTGAATATAAATAAGTAGATGGTTCTGCGAACCAGACTGTCTAGCAGAACGTTGGATTTAGTTCAAATCCAGTTGCTAAGATTTTACAAATACATTCTTCCTATTTAAATCTAAATAGATCTTTAATGAATTACTCATCTTTTTAGTAAACATTAAGTTCAATATGGTTTCGCGATCACATATGTATAGTTCCCTTCTAAGATTTTACAAAAAAAAAAACAGAAATATTTGATAGTTGAATTCATGAGTCAATTGATGCTGAACCACCA